ACCTGAATGTTTTCGAGGACTATGGAGGTATTTTGTCAAACACTTGAATGTCTCTTTTTATATTTTAGTAATTTTTTGAAGGGTGACAAGTTACTGCCTAGATCCTACCCTTAATTATCTCAAGGATGCACATACTGTGCTTGTAGAGAAGATATTTGTTATTGTAGGGGCCCCAGGTGGGACCTTTATCAAAAGACATAGTTTGATAGTCCTCTAATGTGGCCTCCTGGAGGACTGGTGCACCACAGGGTTACCAGTTGTCTTGGGATAATTGAGTCTTTCCTTGTTTTTCAGAGATTGCCTGAAAACAGTTCAACCTCTTCTATTTGTCCTTATACCACCTTATACATTAATCCATTACTGGGGCTAGGGTTGGAACAGACTTTTGGAAGTAATGTGAATGGGAGGGCCAGTTGCTGGGGCCATCTCCAGATGTTTCTGATAGGTTGCTGATAAAGTTGAGCAGAATGAAGAACAAATGGCAGTCAGTCCCATCTGATAGGGGGAGATTGAGCAGCAGTTAGAACTGCCAAACCGGGGCTGGCTGGAGGTCTCCTGAGGAGCAATTCCTGAGAAAAGACTGTCAGTGTTGCTTCTTTTTAAGATTTATTTTTACTTACTTGAAAGGCAGAGTTACAGAGAGAGGGAGAGACAGAGTAAGGGAGAGATCCATTCTCAGGTTCACTTCCCAGATGGCTCAAAATGGCTGTCGCCAGGAGCCAGGAGCTTCTCCTGGGTCTCCCACATGACTGCAGGGAACCAAGTACTTGGGCCATCTTACACTGCTTTCTCCAGCACTCTAGGGGGAGCCAGATCTGAGGTGAGGCATCCAGGACTTGAACTGGCATTCATTTGGGATGCCAGCACTGTAGGGGATGGCTTTACCCACAACACCACAGCACCAGCTTCATCGTTGTCTCTTCTCATTCACAGCTGGCTGTAGGAGTCCAGGGTGTTTCTACCTCAGGCACCTGCTTATTACTCTCTAACTCCATGAACTCAGTGTTGCATTTCCACAGCTGTAACTTCAGCATTTTCTAGTAATCCAAAAGGGTTGAGTGTAAGAGAGACCTGGAACGTTTTTATTAGCTTGATACTAACTTTGAACCATCTAGCTTTCCTATTAGCGGAATTATTTACCTGTTGATCACACAAAGCAGGCCTCCCTGCAGCTGCTGATAGAGGAAAGAAAAATGCTTCATGTCCAGGAAAGATAATGGTAGAATCCTGGATTTTTCTTTTTTTAAGATTCGTTGATTTTTACTGGAAAGGTGGATTTTTAAAGATTTTTATTATTTTTTTTATTGGAAAGGCGGATATACGGAGAGGAGAGACAGAGAGGAAGATCTTCCGTCCGATGATTCACTCCCTAAGTGAGCGCACGGCCGATGCTATGCTGATCCGAAGCCAGGAGACTCTTCCGGGTCTCCCACACGGGTGCAGGTTCCCAAAGCTTTGGGCCGTCCTCGACTGCCTTCCTGGGTCACAGGCAGGGAGCTGGAAGGGAAGCGGGGCTGCCGGGATTAGAACCGGCGCCCATATGGGATCCCGGGCGTGCAAGGCGAGGACCTTAACCACTTGCGCCACCGCGCCGGGCCCGGAAAGGTGAATTTTTATAGAGAAAAGGAGAGAGAAAAATCTTCCATCCTCTGGTTTACTCCCCAAATGGCCACAATGGCCTTGGGGTGTCTTACAGATACAGGGGCCCACACAGGTGCAGCTGCACAAGGATTTGAACCATCCTGCATTGTTTTCACAGGCTATAAACAGGGTGCTGGGTGGGAAGTGGAGCATCTGGGACACAAACCAGCAGCTAAATGGGATCCCAGTGCTTGCAAGGGGAGGATTTAGCCCATTGAGCCATTGTACCAGACCCAGTGAAATTTATTAAAAACAAGAAATGACAGTAGTTTGAGGTACCTCTGATGACCTAGAAGTAAACTGGAGATACCATTTTCCAGATGTCAGAGGGGAAGATGGTCCATGCAGTGAGACATGCTCCCCTCTACTCCCTGTTGCCACCGAAAGTCGCAAGTCTATTCAGCGATATTGACCTCTGCATCAGAAATATAGCCACATCTGATCAGCAACTTGATTTTAGGCTATAACAGAGAATGAGCCCTCACATGGGCACCTACTTGAATGACCCAGATAAGTCAATTAGCCCTTGAAATTTGTGTTCAATTTGCAGTCTCACAGATGATGTCTTTAGTCTGCCAGCCTGTAATTTTCCAGGTGGCAAACCAAACATCAGGGTCATTGGCAGCAACCCCAGGATCTGAGTCCTGCCCACCAGGAGACCCTATGTACTTTGAGTTTTTGCATGGCGAGCCCTGAAGGTGAACAGCCACTGAGCCCAGCACACACTGTCAGCTCGTAGTTTCTCTGGACCAGGGTTTCACTGCGCCAGTAGCCTTGCTTCAGACCTTGGAGTGGGAATCAGTTTTCCCCTCAGAGCAGCAGCTGCCACTTTTTCATATGAAGCCAGGATGCCAGGACTAGTGGTATGGTAGGTAGGTACATTGGGCTAATCTACCACCAGTGTAACACTATCATCCTTAAAACACTGGTTTGAGTCCCTCCTTCTCTGCTTATAATCCAGCTCTCTGTCCCTGTGCCTGGGAAAGCAGCAGCAGATGACCCAAGGACGTACACCCATGTGGGAGACTCAGATGGAGCTCCTGGTTTCTGGCTTTGGCCTGGTCATATCTAACCCCTGCTGTTACACCCACTTGGCGTGTGAACCAATCAGTACAAGATCTGTGTGTGTGTGTGTGTCCTACTTCCTTTGTAACTCAAATGAATAAATTAAATAAATAAAATAAATATATTTTAAAATAAAGCCAAAATTATGTGAGAGCCAGGCTGACTGTGTTATTGAATATATCCTTTCCATCCCGACAGACTGGGTTTTTTGAGTCTCTCACCTTAGTTAGATAATGAGTTCAAGTTGAGCCACACCCATCATGGATTCTCAGGCCACAAAATCATGTTGTCTCTGTGACTGAAGGATTCAGCTCTCCAAAGCACCTGTGGGTGGAAGCCGCTTGGCTTTGCCAGAGGCCCCTACTAGTAGCATCCTTTGCATCAGAGGTTTGTACTGTCCTAATACCCAGCATTGGGTTTTGTTGGGATTTACCACCTGCCACTGCTGCTTGAGATGTTTTGTTTAGTTAATTGTGGTACACCAGGGCAGGTTTCTTTGTTTTGACAAATGTAGCAAGTGTTTAAATTGTTAAGCTTAGAAATTGGGTGAAGGAATCCTGTGTTGTCTCTGTAATTGTTCTGTAAATATAAAGTTGTTCCAAATTAAAAAACTTAACTTTAAAAAAAAAATAGTACTACCTAACTCTCCACCATACCCAGGTAAGATCAGATCAGACCCTTTAGAATGGCATAGAAGTTCCTTACAAATAGTTCCAGGCTGTTTATTTCTTACCACTTTCCTATATTTGTATGATACTGTCGTCGTTAATTCTATCAGTGCACCTGCTGTGTGTTGTACATGTGTAGGCCTCTTGTGCTGTCACTTCTTGCTATAAAATGCTCTGACCCAACATCTTCACTTGGTCTAATTCAGGCCAGATATCAAGGCTCTGTCTCACTCTTAATCTTTCCTGATGTCTCATCCTGGGTGTATAGCCTATATATAATGGGTCTGCTTCAGCATTTGGAAAGGTGAGCATTGCAAACTTTGTTTTTTTAAGAAGTATGAATTCTTTTCATTGTCAGTCTTTTGCTTGTGACCCATTTCCAATGAGTAGTATGTTAAATTGTTAAATGAATGCATAATGAAAAGCTTTAGGCTACTCTGTATAAGGTTATGATAGAAGTCTACCCCTGTGTCACTCAGATATGAAATATTCTCACTAAAAGGACATTTCTGACTCATGTTTACATGTTTACATTAGTAAAGATTTGTTTATTTGACAAAGTTACAGTGAAACACACACACACACACACACACACACATGCTCTCTCTCGCGCGCGCACGCTCTCTCTCTGTCTCACACATACAGAGAGATGGGCGGAAGAGAGCGAGAGACCATTCTTCCACTTGCCTGTTCACTCCCCAAATTACCCAATGGCCAGGACTGAGCCAGGCCAGACCAGGAGTCAGGAACTTCATCAAGATCTACCACATGGGTGCAGGGGCACTAGCACTTGGGACATCTACTGCTTTCCCAGGCAGTTAGTTAGATCAGAAGCAGAGCAGCCTTGGGAGCTGCATTGTGGTGTAGTGCATTCCATATGGAGATGATGGTTCTTGTCTCTGCTGCTCTACTTCCAACCCAACTCCCTACCTGGACAAAGCAGCAAATAATGGTCCAAGTGTTTGGGCTACTGTTACCCACTTGGGAGACTGGAAGAAACTTTTGGCTGCAGTTACCACCTGGCCTAGTCCTGGCCATTGCAGCCATCTAGGAGATGAACTAACAAAGGAGAGGTCTCCCTTGTTTGCTGTCTCCCTCCCTGTCAAATAAATAAGTTTTAACAAAACAAACAAAAACTGAAATGAAGCAGCAAGAACTTGAGCCGACAGCATTGCAGGTGGTGGCTTAACTCTTTTTTTTTTTTTAAAGATTTATTTTTATTATTTTTTTATTGGAAAGGCGGATATACAGAGAGGAGAGACAGAGAGGAAGATCTTCCGTCCCATGATTTACTCCCCAAGTGAGCGCACGGCCGATACTATGCCGATCCGAAGCCAGGAGCCTCTTCCGGGTCTCCCACGCGGGTGCAGGGTCCCAAAGCTTTGGGCCGTCCTCGACTGTTTTCCCAGGCCACAGGCAGGGAGCTGGAAGGGAAGCGGGGCTGCCGGGATAGAACCGGCACCCATATGGGATCCCGGGCGTGCAAGGCAAGGACCTTAACCACTGTGCCACCGCGCCGGGCCCATGGCTTAACTCTTTGCGCCGCAGCAGCAGCCCCCTAGAATTGTGTTTTGAACATTCCTGTGTGCACAGACTTACCATTTCTTTCTTTCACTTGTGTTTTAGGAGGGCCAAATATGTGGGCTATCACCTCTGAAGAACGGACTAAACATGATAAGCAGTTTGACAACCTGAAGCCTTCAGGAGGTTACATAACAGGTTTGTGTTCGTGATTTTTGTTTCATTTATAAATTACATTTCTTTGCCTAGAATGTCTTAGTATTTTTAATTGGACTGCCATCAAATTTGTGTTATTAGTTCATTGTGTCACATTATTTTGTGTATAGGACACCATAAAAACTTACATTGAATAGCAAATATACTATTTTTAATAACTTTGAAAAATAATATGCTATTAAAATATTTTTAGAATCGAGAACTAGGCCAGGCTGAAGCCAAGAACTAGAACCAAACCCGTTCTAGTCTCCTACATGGGTGACAGAGCCCAAAGAATTGGACCCTCTTTCTGTGCCTTGCTGGACACATTGGTTAGAAGTTGAATAGGAAGCAGAGTAGCTAGGACTCAAGCTGACACTCTGCTATGTGATGCCAGCATCTCAAGATGTAACTCACTGCACAGCAGTGACCTTCTGGAACTATGTTAATTTGTTTTGGGTTTGGCATGTGGAATATTTTTTTCTAAATATTAAATGAAAGTCAATAATTTCTGTTTAATTGTCTGGTTTCACATGTTAGCTTTACATTTATTTTTGAGATTAATTTCTCAGAAAATAGTGTTTGCCCTGAAATCTCTTTTCATAATGTTATTTCTCTAAGCCTATTCCAAGCATTTATTGTTGATCCCAGTTCTTGTTTTCCAGAAAGACCTCCAGAGCCAAAGGGGATAAAATTAAATGTGTCTTTCAAGTTTTTTCACTAAGTGAAAAATTTTATTCTGTGCCAAAACATCTTAGCTCTTTAAATGGAATTATATATACAGTTGCAGCTATGCTATTCAGTTTGTACTATGCATGTGCTATGCTAGATATATTGTTTTATTTATCCTTTACAGCAAATTTGTGAGGTAGGTACTCTTGTCTGGATGGATAGATAGGTAGGTAAGCAGATAGATAGATAACCTGAAACTTAGACATGTTATGTAACTTGCCCAAGATGATAGTACTGATCTGGGCCTCGAAAGCATTTAACCTGACTTTGGAATCCTTCCTCTTAACCACGGTATTTTGTGTTCTTATAATAACAGCTGTCCCTAATGTCAGGGTTTGATTGTTGCTCTTCACTGGGTGGAGACCCAAGAGTCCCAGGTCAGACAGCAGACTTTATTAGAGTATCACAGCCAGCACCATGAAATCAGTGCTTTGATTATGGCTTCATTTATTCCCTCCATCCCACAGGGGTGATGCAGACAGCCCAGAGGATGCTACCACTTGCCGTGGCTGTGTTCTAAGAGAGGAATGCTGAGCTTGGGCAACCCACCATTCTGTAGCAAGCAGTAAAGCAAGCTCTTTTTGTGTGTCCACTTGTACAACATTATATCATTCCTCAAGATTGCTCATTGCAAATCCAATTCTGAGAAATGATCTAGGCAGGGAGAAATTAGGATATTGTATTTTTGGCATATATAGCAGGGTCTATAGGAGTATGAGGAAACTCATGTTTGGCGGGCAAGGGAGAAAGAGAAGGAGAAAGAGATCTATTTGCTAGTTCATTCCCTTCGTTACTACGACAACCAGATCTTTCCTAATATCTAGTGTTTTCTTCCTAATACCTGTTAGAAAATAGTGTATTTGGGAGATTCTTGCCACGACATAATAGGGTAAGCCACCACTTGTGGCAACATTTCATGTCCTGGCTTCTGATCCATTTGCCTGCTTATGGCCTCGGAAGGCAGCCGAGGATGACTTGAGTCCTTTGGCTCCTCTGTCCATGTGGGAGACCCAAAAAGAGGCTACTGACTATGGGTTTCAGATCAGGTCAGCTCCAGCTGTTTCAGCTATTTGGTGAGTAACCGGTGGATGGAAGATCTCTCTCTTTCCTCCTTCCAACCCCCTCACTCCCCTGGTAACAATGCCTTTCGAATAAAAAGATAAACAAATCTTTTTAAAAAATAGGATTTTTAATGATAACTTTTATTAAATACAGTGTTACCAAATAAGATACCAACTGTGGGAAAACTCAGATGAATAAATTCAGTTGTGGCTTTTGTTGCTTTAAAACATCTATGTGTTATTAAAGTAAATGATTATGCTTGTTCTATAATAATTAAAGTTATAATAAATCCATAACTTTCCCCCTTTGTTATTATCAAGAGGCGTTGGAATGATTCCATTTATTAATCCACTGCTTGGTGTTTGTTTTTCATTCCTTCAGGTGATCAAGCCCGCTCTTTTTTCCTACAATCAGGTCTGCCAGCTCCTGTTTTAGCTGAAATATGGTAAAGTGTTTTATTTTAAAAATTTCTGCTATTCTGTTGCTTTTTATAATTTGTGTTAATAACATTGTTTTTGATTTTACTTTATTGTTGTGAAATAATATTTCTTCAGCTTTTACAAAATACATTTTATTGAGCAATTTTTTACTATTCTGTTGCTTTTTGTAATTTGTGTTAATGACATTGTTTTTGATTTTACTTTATTGTTGTGAAATAATATTTCCTCAGCTTTTGTAAAATACATTTTATTGAGCTAATAATTAAAAACAACTGGAGTTGTGTCTTGTAGGCCTAATTTTGCAAAGAAGATATATTCATTATCACTGAGAATTTCTTTACAATTTGGCAGGATCTCAAATTCTTCTTTCTGTTATTTTGGTTCATTTGGTTTATTAACTGTAAATCTAAAATCAGCCCTCCCTTCCCTTGGCAGCAGCTTCTGTGATACCTGGAATTTGTGTGTGTGTGTGTGTTCAGTTAATACACCCTACCCCATTTTTTTCCCCACTTGGAATACCCCCATACGTTGTAGAGAGCCAGACACATAGCATAAATTCAGTAATACTAGAACAAATGACTAAATTAAGTCAGAATTCTACTTTTGAATAATTCCTTTGTATCCACATTGATGGAATTCTGCCCAGAGTTTTCTAGATTGCGCATAGACAGGCAGGGCTCAGTAGATGCTGTCATGGAAATGCCATGTCATTGTCAACCTCAAAAGTAATGTTGGTGTTCTCGTCACACCCCACATATCAATCTACCTGTCTCCTGCTCCCGTAGGGCTTTGTCAGACCTGAACAAGGACGGGAAGATGGATCAGCAGGAGTTCTCCATAGCTATGAAACTCATCAAATTGAAGCTTCAAGGCCAACAGTTACCCATGGTTCTCCCTCCTATTATGAAACAGCCTCCAATGTTCTCTCCATTAATTTCTGCGCGTTTTGGTATGTGTTTATTAACTTAATTTCTGCATTTGGTAGTTATACTTGATTCCTGCCCATAATATTTGGGAAACAAAAAAGGGTTTGTTAATAAAAATAAATAAATAAATAAATAAAATAACAATCCCCACACTCCAAGTTAATTTTCATGTGTGAGATAGTATTTTTAAGATTTGTTTTTAGCATTTTTAAAAAATTTTTTATTTTAAAATATTTTTAAGATTTGTTTATTCATTAAACCAGAGTTTACTCCCCCAGTGACTGCGACTGTTGGAGCTCGGCCAGGCCAAAGCCTGGAGCCTGGAACTTCATCTACTATCCCCTGTAGGAGGCAGAAGCCCAAGTTCTTGGGCCATCTTCTGCTGCTTTCTTCAGCACATGAGTAGGGAGCTGCATCAAAGTGGAACATCCCAGTGTTAAACTGACACTTTCATTGGATGCTGACAGCACAAGTGGTGGCTTAACTTTCTGTGCCACAATGCCAGCCCCCCAGAAATATTAAATATATTTATAGTTAGCATGTCTACATTCCCAGCTATCCAGAGACAATTCTGATTTATACCTCTTGCTTTGATATCTACTTAGTGTTGCCTGTCATTAACTCACAATTGAGTAATAAATGATATAACTCCTCATGGTTATAGCCAATCCTGAATGCAAGGAAACTTTAACAAGTTCATGGAGAAATGGAGTTAAGTAATCATTTCAGGGGAATGCATTTGGCCTTAGTGCTTAAGATGTCCCCATCTTGGAGTATCTGGGTTCAACACCTGGCTCTCGCCCTGATTCTAGCTTCTGTAAATGCATGCCCTGGGAGGCAGCAGTGATGGTTTGAGTAGCTGAGTTCCTACCAGTCATGTGAGAGACTTGCATTGAGTTCCTAGTTCCTGGCTTTGTTTTGGCCATGTGGGGAGTAAACTATCAGATGAGTTCTCTCTCTTCTCCTTCCTTCTCTCCCTCTCTCTCCATCTATTTGTCTGTCTCTACCTTTCAAATAAATAAGCAAAATATAAGTTTATTTAAGTGTAAAAAAAATGTATGTAAAGCCAATTTTCAAGCTCAGAGGCAAATGAACTTTAAAATTTTTAATTTAATTTTTAGCATTTATCTAAGAAACAGACACAGCTCTTATCCACTGGTTCACTCCACAAGTGCCTACAATGGCTAGCACTGGGCTGAGACTGGAACCAGAAGCAGGGACCACGGTCTAGGGTCTGCCATGTGGATGGCCAGGACCCAACTCATTCAGCCATCACCTGCTGCCTCCCAGGGACACATTTAGCAGGGATCTGGAATCTGGTATGGAGCCAGGACTCACTCTCAGCCTCTCCAACACAGGATGTAGGCATCCATACTGGATCTTAACTTGTAGGCCGATGACCATCCCATACTGTAAAGATTTTGAAGTCCTTGTGTATGTGAACTCTTCAGTTTGTGGATAGTGTATATCATGAAAAGATTCTGCATGACTTAACCGTGTCTTTTTTTTTTTGCACCTAAATAAACTTCCCTTTTAATTCCATTTTCCATGGGCTCTCAGAAATATCCTTGCACCATTCATTTTTCTATATGTATGAGCAATAAAACAATTTGAAAAATTTTAATTCCCTTAAAATGGTTTCATTTAGAAATAATTTATAAATTATATGTAAATAAAAAAATCCTTAATGTAAAGGTTATTTGGTTAGCTAAACTTGGGCCCAACATTACAGACTATATGCTAGTTAATTTGCCTGTGCATCACAGAAACCAGCTGTATGTTTTGTATTAATTTTGAGTAGGCATTTTACATAATTATGTGCAAGAAGCACTCATTTTGAATGTCACTGTACATCTGAAACACGTTCTTTCGCTCCAGATGTTAGATCTTAAAACTAGCAATGCTGTCTTCATTGCAGTGAGCTCTAGAGATAAATACCAAATCACTGTGTGATCACATTTTCATACTGTATTTAGTACTTAGTATTCTGCAGTTAGTAAAGAAATAAAAGTCACCACTTAGTTTCTTTTAAAGAAACTTTTTTAAGTTCAGAGCTATTTTATGTACAAGAAAAGTGAAATATTTGGTATACTTTCTTGGAAATAATGAATATATAACTGGGCCTTCCAAAGTATCTGCTAATTAAAACTTTTGTTTGTTTATTTGGAAAGTGTGTGTTTATGTTAGTCAAATAACTTAGTAGCACTGAATTTAACATTCTCTCTTTGAATTGAAAAAGGCTTCATACAGGTAGCAATATTAATATTAAAAGCAGTAGCTTGCCTGCCTCACTGCTGGTTTAGTGCTGCATTATGGCTTTGTAAGGATAGTTTGTCCAGGATGCTTTGTAAGCATAGGACCTGCTCACAGGTATGTAAGGTTGGTTTTTGGTATGTGTTTAATAATTGATTGACTGGTATGAGGAAATATGTGTTCTTTTGTCCTTAGGGATGGGAAGCATGCCCAACCTGTCCATTCCTCAGCCTTTGCCTCCAGCGGCACCCATGGCAGCACCCTTGACGTCTGCGACTTCAGGGACCAGCCTTCCTCCCTTAATGATGCCTGCTCCCCTAGTGCCTTCTGTTAGCACCTCATCATTACCAAATGGGACCCCTAGCCTCATTCAGCCTCTGTCCATTCCTTATTCATCCTCAAGTAAGTACTTTGGGTTTCATATGAAAAAGGGTACTTTCATGTGTCCAAATAGATACACATTTCCTTTGCCCTTTCAGTATTATTTGGTGTGAACCTTTTCCTTTTTCTGTTGTGTTTTTTTTTTTCCAGCATTGCCTCACACATCATCTTACAGTCTGATGATGGGAGGATTTGGTGGTGCTAGCATACAGAAGGCCCAGTCGCTGATTGATTTAGGATCTAGTAGGTATGAGCATTTAGCACAACTTCTTATACTTTAACAAAGAGTCATAAGCTTTGTGCTTATCCAGCTTTTACTTTGTAGAGGCCAAACATAAGTACTTAAGATAAACTTATCATTTACAATTCACATAAGGTAGATTTGTGATTTTATTTTTTAATTATTAAATGTCTTGTTATTTTACTTTAGAAAATGTTTATGTAAACAAGGCAATCCTGCTTTATTTTAGTCAGTCACATTTTTGGCTCATTGCTAGGTACGTTTATTTTTTAAAAGGTATTTACATTTGCCAAAATGACTCATAATCGTTATTTATTGTTAATTTTTTTTTTTTTGAAGAGAAATTCTGCTGATTATCTTCTGAATTTCAGAAAGCACAAAGGCATCATTCATTACCTTTTATGTCATGCCACAGTACTCTTTGAAGCTGTGTGCAAAGAATTAGCTTTGGCCCGTAAGACGAACATTTGTATCCCAGAGTAAGACACTCACTGACATGACCTTATCTGCTCCAGTAGCTCTGAGTCACACTTTACCCATCCTTACTCATGTACAGGATGGAAGTAGAAAGGTCTTTTTTAGTTTGTTGCAAAGGTTAGATTTAAAAGTTGTGAAGGGTCAGGCCCTAATTCTTGATATTTTGTCTTGTGGCTTCTAGACTTCAGATGTTATTTGTTTTAATAAGAATAACTAATTGGCTAAATTTAAATGTTTTAAAAATATCAAATACAGAACTAATTGTTTTTATCTTTTGTAAAGCATGATGGTTAATGTCTTTGCCTAATAAAAGCTTAATTGGATGTATTTTATTCTATACCATAAACATTTTAAATCAATTTCATTGTAGTTCAACTTCCTCAACTGCATCACTCTCAGGGAATTCACCCAAGATGGGGCCCTCCGAGTGGGCAGTTCCTCAGCCTTCAAGATTAAAATATCGGCAGAAATTTAATAGTCTTGATAAAAGCATGAGTGGATACCTGTCAGGTAGGTACATACTGTGCTCCAGGGTAGGAGAGAATCCATCTTTATTTGGGTTTCTGAACTTGCGTTTGAAGTCGTCCTTCATAGTTACCCTACAGAATTAGCATCTTAATGTTTAGCAGGTATTTGATAAATACTCTAAGTTGTGTAGGGATTTAGAGATGGATCCAACTCTGTTGCTTGTTTCCCAGCCATTTCTATCAACTTGAACACACAAACATATTCTGAACGTTTCAGAAAGCAAGCACCTGTCTCCTGGGAAGGTCGAACCGCATCCCCTGAGCATCACAGTAGACAGAGAGCCTCAGGTCACAGGGTCAGCAAGTGTAAAATTTGCTAAATAAGGGTAGTAAAGGGGGTGTATACTGAGAGGAGTAGACAATAAGAGTTTCACTTTTTAATTTTCCTCTTCCCTCTTCACTCAGCAAGAAACTATCATTTAGGGCAGAGTAAAAAAAGATGTTTAAAAAATAATATTACTGGGCCCAGCACAATAATGTAGTGGTTAAGGTCCTTGCCTTGCATGCGCTAGGATCCCATATGGGCGCCGGTTCTATCCCAGCAGCCCCGCTTCCCATCCAGCTCCCTGCCTGTGGCCCGGGAAAGCAGCCGAGGACAGCCCAAAGCTTTGGGACCCTGCACCCGCTTCGGAGGCCCAGAAGAGGCTCCTGGCTTTGGATTGGCTCAGCTCCAGCCGTTGCAGCTGCTTGGGGAGTGAATCATGGGACAGAAGATCTTCCTCTCTGTCTCTCCTCTCTGTATATCTGCCTTTCCAATAAAATAAATAAATAATGTTACTTCAAAGTATTGGGAACATAGAATGGAAGGTATTAATGCTGACAAGATTGAGTGGCATATCTTACAGGAAAAGAGCATTTTTCTGTTGCTTATGAAAGTGAGAAATAGGATTTGGATGGACAGAGATAGAAGACGATGGCAGTTTGAAGATGACAGAGAAGAAACTTTAGGAACAAAAAGTATGTGGCATGACTAAAGAATGGAAAGCAGTCTGTGAAATAGCAGCATAGGGTGGTAGCTCTGCAGTGGGACAAGGGAGCAGTAAGGCATTTGGAACAAAGAAAAATACAGTCTTTCCCTTAAAGTGATATACTTATGTGATGCACTGTTTATGAGAGAAAACAGAAGAAAAATCAAAAACGCAGAGAGCTTCAAGGCATTTATTAGTGATCTGGTTCTTGAAGTGTGTGGAATGTTGTTGAAGGAGTATTTTACTATACTTTATAGTTTAAATGCACACTATATGTGATGAATAAGATTTTCTGTAGTTTTATTGAATGACATGAATGGACTGTACTGTTAAGTCTTCTTTTACATGTTGATGTCTCTGGGTTGAGAAGTGTGTTACCATCAGTGCGGTCTTTGTACTGTGTCTTGGTTTTGCTGGCACTGGTGTTTTCTTAGTGTTACATAAAACAGTGCTGTGACTTTTATCTGAGAGGGCCTAAAGATTGTGTGAAATATGGCATTAAAACATACTTAGCTTAATGTAAAATCATGATTCTCATTCCCTAAAATAGTGAACTTTTTCTGAGCTCTACATTTTGCATTTAAAAAATTTAGGCTGCCAACAGTGGATTAGGAAGATATGCATAAAAAAAAAAGATAAGCATACAAGTAGTCACAGCTTCAGTGTCCATCAACAGAGAAGGAATAAATCATAGTGCATTTGTGTAGTAGATATGGCAATAGAAATGAATGGCTTGCTGATATGGGTAGTAGCATAAGTGAATTTCACAGATATTCTATTAGATGAAAAAATCTGGCAAAAGATCTCTATTATTGAAACCATTAGATGAAGCTGAAGAATGGGAAGCCTAATTAATGACAGAAAGCAGAACAGCATGGTTCCTCTATTGAGAAGGAGCCATATACATTGCTTCCGAGGTGCTAGAGGCATTGTGTGTCTGTGTGGCTGGTGGGTGTATGTTATCTGTCTAGGTAAAAATCTATTTTAAGCAGCTCACTGAAGCTGAGTACACTGTGATGTACTGTGAGTACAGAGGTTGTTCTGCTTTGAGGTGTGAAGGGCTGACTGGAGAGCAAACTATTAAGAAAGGGTCTACTAGTATGCTTTGTCTGTGTCTGCCATAGTATGGAGGTTGTATATGGTATGGTATGGTATGGTATTCTGAGGATGGTATTCTGAGGATAAAGCTGTATGTTTGTAGGTAAGGACAGGGCTTTCTTTAAGAAGAGCAGTTTTGCTTTTATGCTGGAACTGAGCATGAGTCCAAGTGTATAAGGTCGGGGCTAACTTGGATCTGCCTGTCTATGTTAGTTTACCAAATGAAGCAGTTGATGATCTGTTTTTTTTTTTTTCCTTTTCATCTCTTCTTTCTTTTCTCTCTAATCACGCACTCTTTAATTTATTTAGATTAATACACTGGCTCAACTTCATGCCAGCCATGTGTGCTCTGAATGTTCTTAGGCACTGACCTGCAGGGAGGACGAAGACCTGATCCACACCTTTGAAAAACGTAGTACAGCTCACATGGCCTCAAGTGTTTGAGCTTAAAAGTGCTGTACTGAATGCAAATGAGAGCATGAGCAGCTCTGAGGGGAGAAGGTTACACAGAAGGTGATGTTTAAGCTGGATCCTAGAGGATAAACAGACCAGCAGGGAGAGAGAGGAGGAGCAGGCATTGGAGGCAGAGGATATGCGATACCCCAGGGGTTGGCAGACTGTGAGTGTGCATGTCCAAGTGGGCGTTCCTTGGTAACATTCTGTGCTGGCTTTTGGTGGCCCTTTATATTTTTCAGACTTGGCCTGCACACACAAAGCCCCTGTCCATAGGCATTTAGCCATTTACATTTACTCTCTTTCTTCTGCTTGCTGTGTTGCCTAATGCTAAAGGATCATCTTTGCATTCTCTTTGGCCAAGAGCTGAAATATTAGTTACCAAACTTTTCTTCAGGTTTGCAATATTCTCTTTTTAGCACAAATATGGCCTCCTCAGATCTCATTTCTTAAGTTACAACTGAGGAGTAATTAGTTGAGTGAAGCTGTGAGCCATTTCTGATGTTTTTCTTTATGTAATTTGTATTAAATGGAATGCAAAAGATTTAAATCCATAAAATGAAAACATTGTGCTGCATGTTGTTCTTTGTGGTAGCTTTGCTGATCAAATCTTCTGCTGGGAGCTCAGAGGAACAGTGTGATCAGCTGTGTTTGGTTAGCTTTTGCTTAGGAGGAATTGGCAGATACCATCTGTTGTATGCGAAGCAGTTTTGGGTGAGGCTTGACTAAGGCTGGCCCCAGAATGGGGGCTGACTGCTACAGCACTCAAGGCTCAGTCACTGGAAGAGAGAGGTGCAACATCCATGGTCCAGATTTAAATTAGGAAGATGAGATCTGAGCAGGCATTCACAGAGCTGTGTTCCGCAGGGCTCTGGTTATAAAAGGCTTGAGCTTTACTCTGCTACCCTGTGCCTTAGTGCCTTATCCATCCTTTGTGTGTGCTGTTCTCTTGCTGGAAGGATATGGGAGAGCACTTGTTTTCACTAATTCCACATTTCTAACTCCTTTGGGCTAAAATTCTGGTTACTACCTGAATGCTTAGTTTCTGGCATTTGATAAAACAAAACATTTTTGATGTTGAAAGTTCCCTGGGGTAGTAGCAATGTTGTTTTATAGGTAGAAACTATATAGGTTTGCATGACTTTAAAGAGGCTAAAGAATTTTTTTTTTTAAATGCTTTTCCCATTCAATTAGGTTTTCAAGCCAGAAATGCCCTTCTTCAGTCAAATCTTTCTCAAACTCAGCTGGCTACTATTTGGTGAGTTTGTCCCTTAATTATGATTTTTAGCTATGCATCCTGTATTCTCAGAAAGACATTGTTCCTGTAATCAAAGCAGAAGAATCACAGATACTCCATAAAAGCAGAATTTGGAAGTAGATGCTGACTTTGGTTGTAAATGCGCAAAATATTGTATTTGAGAATTTGACATTTAATTATCTTACAAGCAAGACATTGTTAGCTTTACATAATGCTTTCTATGGGAAATCAGAGAATACCTACCTCTATTTTAATATTTAGGTAAATGTGGTTTGATAGGTGAATTAACCATGAACTAAGACAAGCCACTTTTTTACACTGTCTGTTTTCCTTTACATTTCAAAGTTTCTTCCATGTTTTTGTGTTATAATAATTACGGTAAAAAATGAACCAACTTTTCTGAATATTTTTATGTTTTACTAAAATGTATTAACCCATTTGTTTTACTGTCCTTTTTCCCCCGAAATAAGAATTTAAACTATTTAATCCATATGTTACTCAAACAGACTTTGAGTTGTGAATCTTCCCACTTTCTATAGGACTCTGGCAGACATTGATGGTGATGGGCAGCTGAAAGCCGAGGAGTTCATCCTTGCCATGCACCTCACTGACATGGCCAAAGCTGGACAGCCGTTGCCACTGACTTTACCGCCAGAGCTTGTCCCTCCGTGCTTCAGGTGAGTGGGGTGAATGATGGTTTGATGGCTTGGTACATGGGGCTTCACTCTGTGATTTAGTGAGGCCTGTACTCCACTTTAAAGGAGAGTTAAATATTCGCACTGCCACTTGATTTTAGTAGTCAGTTCCTTTCCTGGGAAGGAAAACAGCCTCAAAATAGCTGTCCTTTGACCAAATTATAGATAAGGAAACTGATGCCTCAGGAGATTCAGGAAAACTTGCCCAAGAATGTCAGTTACCTAAGCTGTAATTTGAATCCAGCCCTCTCTGACTTGAGCGTCTGTAACTGCTTGCTGTATCTTGTAAGTTGTAGGCCCTGCTATTTTCTAAATATTGCATTGCCTTAATCATTGCAAGTCTTGTAGTCTAGTCTGGGGATTCCTATTTTGAATGATACTTAGTTTTTTTTGTTTGTTTGTTTGCCTCTCTTAGAAGTGTGAAACAAATTGATTCCATTAATGGAACTTTGCCTTCATATCAGAAAATGCATGAAGAGGAACCTCAAAAGAAATTGCCAGGTAACACTTATTGGCTAAATAGTACTTATATGTTACAGTGAGCTCTTTAAAATTTTATCTTGAAATGAAAATAAATATTTAGGATTTTTACATTTCTATTATTTCATTTGCTATGTAAGAAAACAGTTTGATGGATTTTCATGTGAATAAGTTAAGATAGTCACAATGAGAAGAATATGAAGGAAGGAAAAGGTGATGAGTATGTTTGGGAAGAATACAGACATTGAAGTTAAGATGCTCTTCCCCTTTAAGTGGAACCATTAGGTCAAACTTTATGATAAAACTTTTAACCTAGAAGTAAAGGTTAAATATTGGTAGAGAAAGTAGCTCTTCTAAAATAATTTTTAAATTGATAATATTATCTCAAGTAAGAAATGTATAGCCAGATGATTTTGGCTGTCCCTGAAGAAAACTCTGGGAAGCAGCCGGACAGTATTTTTATTGGCAAAGATAGTAAAACCTGGACATTTGTTTTCCTAAAAATGAGTATTTTCCTACTTGTACTTAAGTTAAAATTATCGTTAGGAGAAGGATATAATTCAAGTGATCGTGAGGCATGAGTGCATTGAAAATAGACTTCAGGTTTTATATGGTCCTCCTGTGTGAGAATGCTTGCATTCTAATGCCTGATTCAGTTACTTTTGAGGACAAGAGGAAAGCCAACTATGAGCGGGGGAACATGGAACTGGAGAAGCGACGGCAAGCCCTGATGGAGCAGCAGCAGAGGGAGGCGGAACGGAAAGCCCAGAAAGAAAAGGAAGAGTGGGAGCGAAAACAGAGAGAATTACAGGAACAAGAGTGGAAAAAACAGGTCGAATTGGAAAAACGCTTGGAGAAACAGAGGGAAATGGAGAGACAACGGGAGGAAGAAAGGAGAAAAGAGATAGAAAGGCGAGAGGTTAGTTTTCAGTTATTTTATTCTAAAGACCATCATTGGGTCTAATAAGTGACTGTATTTCATTTGATAAAAAATTATTTATTTTTGAATATTTCTTGGACCTTTTCCTCTGCCTTGTTTCATTCCTGCTTATTCAAATCTGCATCTTCCCTTGAGGAGGAAAGAAGAGTGCTTGTATGCAAGAGATTTTTCAGAGCTGGTAAGTGGGAGCAGCAACATCCCTGGAGCCAGCGCTGTGGGCAGGGGGCAAGCCACTGCTCACAGTGCTGCTAATTGCGTATGGGCATTGATTCAAGTCCCAGTTGTTCCACTTCTGATCCCTCTCCTTACTGGTGTGCCTGGGAAGACAGAGGAAGATGATCTGAGGGCCTAGGCCCCTGCAACCCATGTTGGGAGGCCTGGAGTAAGCTACGGTCTCCTACGATAGCAAGATGATCTTGTACTGGTCCCTAGGGTATTGTTGTGTGCAGCCCCTAGGGGGACTGATTGCCTTATTTATTGTTTTTAATTTTTATGTATTTAGTATTATAGAATTATTTTCTATTTGAAAGTATGAGAGAGAGAGGAAGAGATACAGAGAAAGAGATCTTCCATATGTTGATTGACTCCCTACATGGTCACAATAATCAAGTTTGGGGCTGATGAAAGCCAGGAGCCAGAAACGCTTTCCACTTGGGTGGGAAGGGTCCAAATACTTGGGTTACCATCTGTTCTTTTCCCAGGCATATATACAAGAAACTGTATAAAAAGTGGAGCAATGGGATTTGAGTCAACACTGATGTGGAATGATGACACTGCAGGTGGAGGCTTAACTCGCTGCAACACAGTGCTGATTCCTAAAATATCAGTTCGTTGGAGACAAAGCAAGATAGGTGAAGAGAGAGAGGAGAAAGCATTCACATGCACTATTCACTCTCTCTGATGTTTGCGGTCTCCTTAGAGATATCCAACGAGTAGATGCTGGCTGGGGCCAAAACCAGAGGCTTGGAACGCAAAGCAGATCTCCCACAAGGCCAGAAGGAACCCAGTTACTGAGCCATCATCCCTGCATCTCAGAGTTTATATTAGAGTGCAGTATACAGCCTAACAGGCAGCTGATTCCTTAGACCCAGTGCCTATTTCTGGAAAGCCAGGGGTGGAATGCAGTAAGTTATAGTTCAGTGAAATAGTGTAAATAGAAATTTCTCCTTCCCTGTAACCAGAATGAAGATATAATTATTCCTATTAATACTTACACTTGTGAAGTTATTCTTTTGCTTACTAGGAGAAAAAAATTTTCCTGTAAGGCAATAAATGTCTTATGGATGAAGCTACTTTAGTGGAAGTCTTTATTTTAGCTAAATGGATAAAACCAGGTTTGCTCAGATACCCTGAGGTATGATAGCACACTAAATCCTACCACGAGTTCCCTTTTATCTTTGACATCACACAGGGTTTTGAATGATGCTGAGTGTTTAATTTTAAAATTATTTTTACTTCCTTATTTTCAGGCAGCAAAACAAGAGCTTGAACGACAGCGCCGTTTAGAATGGGAGCGAATTCGTCGACAGGAACTTCTCAGTCAGAAGAATAGAGAACAGGAAGAAATTGTCAGGCTCAGCTCTAAGAAGAAGAGTCTTCATCTTGAGTTAGAAGCACTGGTATGGCTAATGTTAAGTGAGGTTTATCTAAATGATACTAAAATTGAAGGTGTAATTAGAGTTTGAATCCATCTCAGTTGTGTTTCACTGTAGTCTTATGTTCATAAGTCTTTTTAATGTACTAGAAAGTCTAGTTTCCTTAAAAAGATACAGTCTCAAATGCTGAGAATCTGCCTTACTCTCCGTTCAGATGCTCTTGGGTCATGTGTGTGCTTCTAGGCAAGGCATATTTTTAGTGTGGGCGTCTGGAGAGTGAACCAGTAGATGGGAGCCCTCTCTTGATAATCTGTTTTTTTTTCCCTGCTTTTCAAAGAAATAAAAATAACATTTTATTGCCTTCAAATGGACAAGAACACTTACCATAATTATTAATTATACCATGATACTACAAAACTTTAACTAAACTCTTTTTAAGTTCTTTGTACTACTTGGATATCTGTCTGAACAATCATCTTGACTATGTATTTTTTCTCAAAAATATGATGGGAGAATGCCTTAAGATGGATTGTTTTGGGACCCCCTCATCCTATCAGCCACTTCTGGGTGGTTGGGGTGGGGAGCGGGGAGCGTGGCCTAGCCTGACTGCTTTGGAGCGGCTGGGGTCATCTTGGCTAGGGTGGCGGACAGAGCACCAATTGGTGCTGGGCTCCACCTGCTGGCCACCTGATGGTGAGCTCTGGGGACTTGGGGTTGTGGAATTACTGTCTAAGGACAGCCATGGATAAAGCCACCATCCTGTAGGTGAGGAATGAATCCTGAGGGACTCCTAATGACAGGGCCACTGTAATTGCAGGTAAGTGAGGAGACTGAGACCTGGTGGTTTGGAGGGGAGAGACCAGAAGCTGTGTATGGATCAGACCAATCACCTGCCCACTTGGGAGTCATGAGATGGGCTTGTCAACACAGAGCATTGCCTCATCACCACACAACAGACCATGCAAAAGCTAGGGCTGAGGGCCTGTCTAGCAGGACTAGATCCCAGTACCTGACTGAGTGCAGGAACGGGACAGGTTACATTAGGCAGGGCCATGACACTAAACAGCCTGCAAGAGAACCAGGTCCAGGGGTAGATTCTGTGGGGGATATGTGGGCCCAGCCCTGTGGAAATACAAGTCCCACTAGTACACTTAAGAGTTGAAGTGGTGATGGGCTGAGCTAGATGTGACCTCAGAACCCATCAACACTTAGAAGTAGTGGGAACAAGAATAGGCTGGTCAGGTCCAGGCTGCAGCTCCTGCATGTGCATCCTGAAATAGGGTATGTGTTGCAGGAGGGCAGTATGCAGCATTCACTAACTCATCCAAAGGCCAAGATGGAGGGGAAGACTATGCCAGGCAAAGGCCTAGCACCCACTGGCATGCGTGAAATCTGGGTCTGGGAGTGGGCCAGGTGGGGGAATTTGGGAAACTTCCCTAGTGGGAGTTTCTTGTTTTGTTTCTTTTTAAAAGTTTTAGTCGACACATAATGATTATACATATTTATGGAGTACCTTGATACTTTGATACATGTGTAATGATCAACTCAAGGTAATTATCATTTCCATCTTTTAACATGTGTTTTTGACTTCTAAGAATGGTGCATTTCCAATTAACTGTTAACAGTCACAGCTATAAGATATATATTCAACTTGGTTTTATCTATTAACTTATTTTGAAAGATTCATCTATTTATCTGAAAGAGTTAGGCAGGGAGAGAAAGAGAGATCTGTCTTCCATCCACTGGTTTATTCCCCAGCTGGTCACAATGGTGCGGGCTGGGCCAAGCCCAAGCCAGGAGCCTGGAACTCCATCCTGGTGTCCCAAGTGGATGGCAAAGGCCTGATTCCTTGGACCATCCTTTGCTGCTTTTCCAGGTGCATTAGCAGGCATCTGGTTCCAAAGTGGAGCAACCAGGGCTCAAACTGGTGTCCACTTGGCATGCTGATGTCACAGACAGCGACTTAACTGGCAGTGCTACAACAGTGGCTCCTCTATTTAGCTTTAGGCATTTTTCAGACTCATTGTGAATGATATGTGCCATTTAGAAATGTAACTAAAAACACTACTGTCCAGGTAGGAACACTTCCTACTAACATTTTATGTTACCTTATTTTTATTTGATCTTCCCGTAGAATGGCAAACATCAACAGATCTCAGGCAGACTTCAAGATGTCCGACTCAGAAAGCAGACTCAGAAGACCGAACTGGAAGTTCTGGATAAGCAGTGTGACTTGGAAATTATGGAAATCAAACAACTCCAACAAGAATTTCAGGTGAATGCTGTGCTGCTTAACTGTCCTGTAGGCAATATAAAGAAAGCATGTGCAAATGTTGCTAGTTCTAATACAGTAGCTTCACTTTGAGGGTCGTTAACACCTTTGGATCTCTGCTAGGCCTGTAAAATGTGAGAGGATTTCAAAGTGTTTATGGAAAAGTGAAAAGGTAAAAATGAATGACAAAACCTTTTTCTCAACTTAAGATTCATCAAATTCGAGACACTTTGGTAAGCGATGTTTAACAATGTCAGCATAGTCTTTTTTGCATAGTTAGCTGACGGAAATTGGATGCTCTTTATGATTTTTTTTAAGATTAGAAAAGCAAAGAAGTCAGAATGGGTCCAAGTCAGGGCTGTGATTTCCCTTATCAGCTCTTGCAGAATTGTTCTTTTTGATGAGAGGATTGAGCAAGAGTCTTCTTGTGGTGACTTAGTGCCTCTCCCTGGCTAGCTTCCTTTGTGACCCCTTTGGCTAACTTTCTCAAAATGCTCTCCCAATAAGCAGATATTAAAGAACTTTGGCCTTCCAGAAAATGAACCATAAAGGCCCAGGAGACTTGTCATGCCCTTAGCTCATAACGATTTTCCTTTCTGCCCTGCCTGGTCCACCTCTGCTGCTTGAGAGCTGTTGCTCTATGCATTGTTTTCTGGATCGTCCCAGGAAAGCCATGTTTCATCTCCTGTTCCAGTTCTCCCAAGAAATGCTTTGAAATCTTGACCCCCTCCTTATCTGAACTTAAGCTGCTCTTTTCTGTAGTTGGTAAGAGCACAGTAGCTTTACCACCCATCAAGTAGAAAACTTGCCCCACTCTAATCTTTCAGTTGTGTAAGCTGAACCATTCAGATGTCTGTGGTGTTTGTTTCTGCTGTTCATTGTTGGTCCTCTTCAGTTAGCGTACCAGAAGATTGATGTCGTGGTCTGATGTTGTGGCCTGCTTCTGCAACACTATTTTGTCCCTTCTAAAACTGAGTTGCTCATTAGTAAATTGCTGATTTCCTCGTGGGCATTGTCTCCATAAACTTTTTGTAAAATTTCGTTGATTTTACTGTTGTTACAAAAATTTAAAGTGATTTCACCATTATTCCAACCAGGCTTCACTATAAATTTCAGGTGTGTTCTTGCTTCAATTTTAAAAGAAATCATGTTTCTTTCACAGGGGCTTTTTTCAAACTCATATCTTAACCTTTCCTAGAACTTCAAGTAGATTGTGTTCAGACATGTATTATAAGTTAGAATGAATTTATTTTGGTACAAAAACAAAATTTGAAATCCATGCATGTTTTGTTCATATTGTATATTTTCCATGAAACTTTTGAAGATGTCTCATAAATACACGCACTTTTTTAATATCAAGTCTTTAGACCTGCTGTAACTCTGCTAGGAAACTCCGTTTAAATATTTATACATAAGTAGACATTTGTCACTTCTTAAATCATCACTTTTTTATTTTAAAAATAAGTTATTTGTATGCTTGTCCCTCCTGTAACAGAACAGCTAAGACTGGGTGATTTTTAAACAAGTATCATCACAGTTCTGGGGCCAAGCAACCAAAGCTCAGAGGGCCAGCAGTGTCTTGCCTGCTTTAAAAACGGCATCCTCACACAGTCATTGCTTCAGCGCCTTTTTTAAGGGGATTAACCTGATTGACGAGAGCAGACCCTTCGTGGCTTGACCACCTCTGATGTCTTACCTCTGAGCACTATTGATCGGGGGTTAGGTGGGAGTCAGGAGAACGTTGTAGGGGACACTAGCATTTGACTAGAACATACACTTCAGAAAGATTATTTCCACTAATTTTGGGAAGTTTTGACTTCGGATTATTTCTAGAATTGCAGTGACGATGTTGAATATATCCCTCAGGGATGTGGAAATTCTTCTTTGTGCAGTGGCAGGGTCTGGCTTATTGTTTGCAGAATACAAGCTCTGGAAGCATTCTGCTTTGAATCCCTTACCCAGTTCTGCTTTTTTTAGTCTCCTTACCCTGTTTCTCTTACTGTGTGGACTCTTAGCTCCAGATGATAAAAACAGAAGCCAAAATCTGCTTTCCTGTTTGTTCCCATTGAATCCTCCTGACACGTACGCAGATGGTAGAGTGTTAGGATTTCCACACACAGGGGTGGAAGGCACCACTTAGTCTCCACACTCTGTCATCCGGCAGTATGTGGGAAATTGGGAGCTTCTAGACGTACTACTTCCACAGAGGCTTTCTTCACTGCCTGTTAGTTTCAGCCCATCATTCATAAATGAAGCTATGCTTACACATTTGTTTTTTAAATTATGTATAATTACATTCTGGTTAATTCAGAACTTGTAAGCAGTTTACAACTATGTATTTCCTCTATGGTAATTTTCAAAACTGATTACGTTTTCAAAAAATTATTGAATAGAATTCCAGAGTTTTAATCAGGTACTGCCTTTTCTTTTTGTAAGGAATATCAAAATAAACTTACCTATCTGGTACCTGAGAAGCAGTTATTAAATGAAAGAATTAAAAATATGCAGCTCAATAACACACCTGGTAAGTCTCTAAGGTTTGTTTTATCTTCTTATTTCTATTCTAAATTACTTTAGTAGTCATAATTCTGTTTCTAAAAATAGTATAACATGTTAAAAAAAACATTTTTGGATATAGGTTTAGAATTTTAAAATGTGAAAAATATCACAGATGTTAGAATAATTTAGTAAATAAAAGTAAATGGAACAGATTAATAATTTATTAAAATCCCCATCCATAATATTTTATTTATACAATTAAGTTATCAGTCAAAATGTTTAATGGCTATTGTGGCTCTTAAGCAAGGCCATGCATTGTGACAAAATCCCGAATTAGTTGGAAAGAGCCTTTCAGGAAGAAACTTGACTCTTTGGGGGCTGTGTTTAAGATTCTAGGAGGCTTAGCAACTGCCATAGCCTAGATGAGATCCTTTGTGTCTTCCAACTTGGATTCTATCAAAACAATTTGCTAACTTGGTCCTTTGACACCTGTGAAACAAAATATTCCAAGGTAATCTATGGGAATATGGGGTTTGGTTTTGTCTTTTTTGCCCAGGTTCTAACCAAGAAACTAAAAAGAAAATATAGCCCGTAGCATGCCAATAACAATATAATAGGGGAAAAAAGGTTAATTAAAAAAAAAAAGTAAGCTTGCAGATGTTGTGTCAGAACTGGCTAATTCAGCTGCCCTAAGTGACAGCCACAGAGGATCTGTCTGCATGCGGGGCCCTTGATGACAGTGCTTGGCTGCTCACAGGTCCCAGCAATAATTTCCTTCCTCTTCAGCCATGCTTCAGCCGTGCTCTACCAACCTGAGCAATAGGGCCCAGGAGCAAAAAGGAAAAGCAAGCAGAAGATTAGTTAGAGGCCAGAATACCACTTTGTCATTGACAAAGCCGATTGGACAGAATGGTTTATCTGTGAGAGAGATAACCATACCCAGAATATATTGACTGCAAACAAAGATCAATGTGGACCTGGCAGAGTGACTCTGTAGACCGTGATCCAGTTCAGCTAGCATTTACTTGTTTGCCAGTTGAGTTCAGCCTAGGAAGCTTTTTTTGGGACTTACGGTATCCTATCTACCTTCGATTACTTCTCCTCATTGTAGTAACCGTTTAAGATTACCAGACATGTGCCAAGCACTGCGCTGGGCAGTTTTCATGAATTGGTTTCTTTAATTCATGTAGCAACCCTTTGATACGGGTTTTTCTCGTTAGGTAAGCTGAGGCTCACAGTAGTTAAATAGATTTACATCTGTCTGATTCTGAAGCCCATTGTGCTCCAACAGGGTCTCTGTGTCTTCCAGTTACCCGGAGTAGGCCTCACATATGTAACCTACAAGTGACGTTCATTGTTATGAACAAACAACAAATGCTCAATTGTAAGACTTTACTGATAGACATGAAAAATTACTAAGTAGAAATATTTTATGTTTCTTGGTGAAGTATCTCATTAATATACATCAATACAGTATCAATTCAATCCTGGTTTATGGATGCATTTAGTTTTAGTCACATTTCTTTACAGGAAACTTGGCAAGATAAATTACACATTAACCTAAAAGAGAAAGTGTACAAAACTAGACAAGACTTTAAAAACATTAGTGGGAGTGGAAGACTAGCCCTATCAGATATCAAAATACAAGATGTGAAAACTATAGTACTTAAAATATTACATTCATGATTAGAAATAGGAAATAAACAATTGAATCAGATGGAGAGTCATGAAAGACAGCTATGTGGATTGACAATTGAGGATAAGAATAGAATACACAGGGTCGAGCCAGGTTTGGTTGCAATAAAAACCAGTCCACACTACAGAATGCCACGAGGAGGTTGACTGTGCCGGATGTGACTGCAGTGCCCATCCAGCACATGTGAGAAACAGGAGGGGAGGGGACAGAGCCAGCAGGGAAATAAGAGGAGGTTCCCCTGCTGGACAGCTACTCCCACTGGAGAGCATGAACTGGGATGGGGCAGACCAGACTAAGCAAGGCTACAACACCTGTGTGCCTCATGTGGACTAGACCAGGGAAAAGCCAGGATGGGTTGATTGTCCCTATGGGTGCAACCTACAATTAGAATGGAAGAGGGCTGTTTGGACATAGCCGTAGCATCAGCTGGCAGAAACTGGCACTGGGGGATAATCCTGTCAAGTTAAACTGCAGAACCACCTGGAAAGTGCATAATCCGGGAGTGAGAGACCTGGGAGGGAAATAGTGGGTTCCCCCCTCTTGGGTTACCACTGCCACGGGAAGGCACGAGAACTAGGACAGGGGCTGGGGTAGCTAGACAGAGAGGCACTCAGCCACACCCGTGAAGGCTTGACTGTTGAGCTGGGTAGATGGATCCAAGCTTCAATGCCATTTGTCATATACGAGAACCAAGGGGGATGTGGGTCAGATTGGACTGGTCTGCCACACATACTGGCAAACCAGGGTAGGGGGTTGGCCTGGTGGGGGTTATTGTGGGCTGCTGTCATCAGGCTGCAGCTCCCACTGGTTTAGGTAAAGACCAAGTATGTGCTGTGCAGAACCAGGCTGGACTGCATCACCCATTGGTTCCAGTAGAAGACGGGGCTGAAAACAGAACCAACCCAGCAATTGCAACTACCAGCTGACCGGGTGATGGACTGTGCTGGGTCCTGTGCTTGCTGGTGCATACGAGTATCTGGCCTGGGAACACCTCAGACGAAGTTTCTTTGGTGATCTACCCAACTGAAATGCCAGACTCAGAACCCTAACCATGAAGGGACAGAAGATGGAACAAGTTAGTCAACCACCTCAGCTATAGGTTGGCAACAAAATACTGGGCAAATAGAGACGCTATGATGGACAATGTCAATTAATGGATTTTTCAACAACCTCATTGTGTTTGGAGAGGCAAGATTGGCAGCAATTTCAAAACTGGTGACCTATTGAAACCACTTCAACGAGTATCTCGGAGCATGCCCCACATGCAGGACTTGGGGTGGGTGGGAAATCAGGTGGGGCTTCTCCCTCAATATCCCCCTGTACCTCAGATATATGAAGGAAACAATATGGAAATAATAGTCTTACCCACTTTCCTGTAGCCCTTGACCCTTTATGCACAAATTAACCATGTAAAGATTGCTAAAATAAAAAATATTAAAAAAAAAAAAGAATAGAATACACATTTAACATCAGTGGGGAAAGGATGAGCCTTTCTGTATTGATTACCTGTAAAGGATATAGGGAAAGTCTTTGCTTCTGTATACAGAAATAAGTTCTAGGTAATATACATAAAAGGTCAAACATAAAGAGTAAGTAAAATATTCTAAAAGGAAAATCTGTTATTAACTTTAATGTAAGAGAAGTTTCTTCAGATGCAGAGCTGTAAAGGAAAACATAAATAGATTTAATGACATAAGAATGAGAAACTTATGGGGTGGTGTAATGACTCAACAGGCTGATCCTTGCCTTGCATGCACTGGCATCCCATATAGGTGCCGGTTCACACCCTAGGAAAGCAGCAGAGGTGACTCAAAGCTTAGGGACTCTGTGTACCCACATGAGAAACCTGGATGCCCATACCACATGTCTTTTTTCTTTTTTTTTTAAGATTTTTTTTTTTTTTATTGGAAAGGCAAATTTACAAAGAGAAGAGAAGACAGATCTTCCATCCACTGGTTCACTCTCCAAATGACTCAGCCAGAGCTGAGCTGATCCAAAGCCAGAAGCCATAAGCCTCTTCAAGCTCTTACACAAGCGTCTGGGGTCCAAAGGCTTTGAGCCATCCTCCACTGCTTTCCCAGTCTATAAGCAGGAGCTGGTTGGGAAGTGGAGCAGGTGGGACACAAATTGGCACCCATATGCAATATTGGTGCTGTCAGGCAGAGAGAGGATAGCCATCATGGCAGCCTCTCATATTCCGTATCTTGAGTGCCAGTTTGAGTCCTGATTTCATTTGCTATATGATCCAACTTATGCTAATGCATCCTGGAAAGGGGCAGATGATGGCATAAGTACTTGTGGCCCTGACACCCATGTGGAAGACCCAAAAGGAGTTCCTGGCTCCCTGGCTTCATTCTGGTCCAGCCTTGGCTGTTGCCAGCATTTGAAAAGTGAACCAGGACTAATGGGTAAAGTCCTCGTCTTGCATGCTCTGGGATCCCATATGGGCACCAGTTTGTATCACAGCTGCTTCACTTCCCTTCCAGCTCCCTACTTGTGGCCTGGGAAAGCAGTAGAGGATGGCCCAAAGCCTTGGGACCCTGCTCCCGGCTTCTGATCAGCTTTAGCTCCAGCCATGGGTGGCCATTTGGAGGGAGAACCAACGGATAGAAGATCTGTCTCTTTCTCTCCTACTCTCTGTAAATCTGACTTTCCAATAAAAATAAATAAATCTTAGAATTTATTTTTAAAAAAGGTGAACAAGCAGATAAGAGATCTCCCTTTCTGTCTTATGTTTGTAACTCCAATCTTTCTCTGTCACTATGCCTTTCAAATACATAAAAAACATTTGAAAAAAATTAAATACATATAGTACAAAAATTTCAGATGTTCTGCAAATAAAAAATTAAGAATTCAGTAGAACAAATTTGATCAAGGGGAAGATCAGACAGTTCAGTATGCATAATTAGATGTTTATTCAGCTTCATTCATTATCAAGAAAGTATATTTAAAATAGTAAGATTTCATTTTGACAATTAGCAAAAATGAGTAAATACTGATAATATGCAGTAAGATGATGTGGAAACAGGTACTGCTGGTAGCACAAGTTCAAAAAGGATAGTTTGTTATCAGTTTCTGTCAAAATTTAAAGTGTGCATAGAAAAACAGAGTGAAGGCATGCACAGGTTATTGCAGTAGAGAAAGAACTGGTGTTTGACATAGTCAAATGCCTTTACAAAATAGGTATAGAAAGACATTTTTCTATTAGTAAAGGTCATCTAGGGAAATCTCATAGCTAACATTATGATCAGTGATAGAAAACTGGAATCTTTTCATCAGATATCTAGAACAAGTGCCTTCTTGCCAATTCTGTTAAATGCAGTTCTGGAAATGCCAGCAAGAGAAATTAACCAGACAAGCAAAGTCATTTAAATTGGAAAAGAAAAAGGAAAATTATCCCTGTGTGCAGGTGACAATTCTTTCACCTCTAAGCTTTATAAAGTTCTTAAATATATGCATTAAAGATTAGTATGTATAAAGATATTTGTTGCAGCATTTTAATGTAATGGTGAAAAATTAGAAACAGCCCAAATGTTAATCACAAATGGGAAACAGTTGTGAAGCAGCTGTGATGTGGACTGTCATGGACACTGTAGAGAATGAGCTAGAACATGAACGTCTCGATTGATAAGACAGTGAATAACATACTGATAACGACACAGGAGCTTATGTCAAATGTAAAATGTGTGGTGTTTGTGTTTCAGATTCAGGGATCAGTTTACTTCAGAAAAAATCATTAGAAAAGGAAGAATTATGCCAAAGACTTAAAGAACAATTAGACGCTCTTGAAAAAGAAACTGCATCTAAGCTATCAGAAATGGATTCATTTAACAATCAACTAAAGGTATTTGTTTTCCATCATATCTAATTTTAGATACCTGCCTTCCTGCCTTTCTGATTTTGATTTAAAAGAATTAGTACATAAGCTGTTACTGTGATAGGTATTTCATTTTCATCATTTATTTTAACTGTACCACAATTTCAAGATTGTTTAATTGCTTTTAATATTCTCTGTTACAAATACTGTGTCATAACTAAGCACATCATTTGCCATATTATCCGGTGTGTGCTGTTTTTATTGGCATCCATCCATTTCAGAATAATTGCCTTTGCCAGCATTACAGAACTGACCTCAGCCAGCAGCGTGGTATCAGGCATGTTCTAAAATGGGAAATATGGACAGCTTAAAACAGTTCCAGTGGTACTAAATGCCTTTTTACTTTCTTTGTTCTTATGTATTCTAACTTAACTCTATCAGCTAATGCAATAATCAGTGAAATCCAGAACAAAATTTGGTACTAGAACCTGCATGAAGAGTTCCGCTTGTGACCAATGGTTGCAGTGGCCAAGCGGAGGTGCCGACACACCTGGCATGCTTGGCGTGCTGTGCAGGATGAGTTATGCACTGATGCCCACCTAGGAGAGAAGCAGTCAGACCCGGAAACTAGGCTGCTGGCACATCGTACACGTTTGGAAAGAGCCTCAGATACTCCTTTGCCAATTAAGCAGGAAGTTTCCATGGCATAGAGTAATCCTTAACTTTGCGAGGAGAAAGCCATCTTTTCCTATGGTTTAATTTTGCTGACTTATTTAAGATTTTATTGGCAGCATGACGAAGACAATGCTGTGAAGGCTTTGGTTAAAGCAGGGAAATTTGAGGTGAATGATATGATGTTCATAGTACACCTTGAACAAGATGTCATGTGTCATTAATGATCTGACACTTTCCCTACCTTTTATTTTTAAACCTGTGCATAGTTTAATTGGCTTTTTATCTGCCTTATCTTACAGTGTGGGAGTTTGGATGACTCTGTTCTTCAGTGCCTTTTGTCTCTGCTAAGCTGTCTCAACAACCTCTTCCTCTTACTTAAGGTTATTTTCTAATATCTCGCTCCTGTTTTTTAGTTACTTTACTGTTTCTTTTTTTTTTTTTAACTAGATTATTCTTTGCCTTTATCTGAGTACCTTTGCTTGAAATAACATGTACAATATAAACCTTTCTTTCTGCTTGCTTACAAACCCTCTGCTGTCCAGTCACCTGTTTGAGTCTAATGCCAGAAATCGGGAGGATTGCCCACAGTAAGCTTTCTCATGTGAAGCCCAAGTCGCTTGCTAAGTTTACCCAGTTCTGGGGCGGGCATTTTGGCACAGTGCGTGGAACCGCTGCCTGTGACGGCGGCATCCGCTGTGAGTGCTGGCTCCTGTCCTTGCTGCTCCACTTGTGACCCAGCACCCTGCTGCTGGCCTGCTGCTGGCCTGGGAAAAGGCAGAGGAAGATGACTGCACTGTCTGGGCCCCTGTCACTCCTGGGGGAGGACTGGGTGAAGCCCTGGCTGCTCACTTCAGTCTCACCCAGCCCTGGCTGTTGCATGAACATCAGATGAAAGTTCTTTTTCTCTGTCTTACCCTCTCTGTCTGTAACTCTAACTTCCAAATAAATAAATCTTTATTTTAAAAACTTGCCCAGTCTTCTCTGTGAATTAATTGGTCACATAATCACTAATTTAATCAGGAAGACAATAAACAATAAGATTAATTCATCATATCAGTGAAAATCATTGTTCAAAATAAAACAAACTATGAAATCTCAGTAGGATTAAGTTATGTATACATCAGGCTGTTCTAATACTGTTATAGGGAAAATTTTATTGATCCATGAAGTCTCCTTATCAAGCTTCATATTTAGATATGCTCACCATTCAGATAAAAATGTTAAAATTGTGTGTATGTTTCTTTTACCATGGATAGCACACAAAGCATTTAATATACTCAGTTCTTATTTTAATGTTTAACATTTTAATATTGTTTAAATTAATTCTTTATATATGCCACATGTTGATCTTAATATATTTCTTTAAAATTTATTTTATTTGAAAGGCAGAAAAACAGAGAGAGGAGGAGAGAAAGTGAAATCTTCCACTTGCTCGCTTACTCTCCAAAGGGAGTCCAGTAGTCACTACTAAGCCATGTGTAAACTAGGCCCAGGCACCGTGTCCTGGCCTCCCTCATGGGTGGCAGTAGCCCGAGCACGTGGGCCATCTTGTGCTGCCTTCCTAAGCACGTTAGTAGGAAACTGGGTCAGAACTGGAGCAGCAGAATGATACAGGATGCTGATGACAAGTGATGGCTTAACATGCTATGTCGTAGCACTGGACCCAGTCTCTTGTTACTGAAGCTAAGATGGGGACAGTTGGAAAAATAACTAAGGCAGGGGTCCTTTATACTACCCTTTCCAGTTATTGCATGAATAACCAGATTTTCTGGTTTATTATTTTTTGCTGCAGATTTCACAGAAACTGAAACCCCAAGTTTCTCCACCTGTCAAATGTCACTCAGTGATGATTTGTTGACTGTTCACTCATGCTAATTTTTTCAACTCGGATTTGAGTCTCCACAGGCCAGCAGATTGTTCTTGCCTCTTGTTTTACTTTCTTTCTTCTGCTTTCCTGCCTTCCAGGATTTTTTCACTGCTTATTGATACCTTAATAAGAGTTAATTTAGGAAAACAGAGGGATATGAAATGTGTAGTGTCAGGTCAGGAGTCTGACACAGTGAGCAAGAAAGAGGCCTGTGCAGTCGTCATGTAATATGATACAAAGTGATCAGTTCACTAGCACTGAGAAGTATCCACTGAACCGGTCAGGGAGACCTTGGAGACCCTGTCGAACGTGCCATTTCAGTTGAATGATGAGTAGAACTGCGATGAATCAGGAATGGATGGGAATTGAAGGATTGAATCTGAGCAGCTGTTAGGGATGGCCAAGTGAGAAGAAGCACAGTCTCAAAGAAAAAACTTTTTGAATTAGAAAAGACTTGATAGAGATAGCAAAGAGGGAGGGATGATGGGAGGAGAAAAGAGAAAAGAAATTGAAATTGGATATTTAAAGTGGTAATTGATAGAGGACAGTCTTAAGAAAGAATTAACAGCACAGATCAAAAGGTTAAATAAAAATAATAACATGGAAAAAGATAAGCATCTTTTGTCATATTTGTCAATCCTGTTAAGTGTGACAGCTTTAAGATTTAAAATCAGAAGTTGGCATTGTGGCTGCAGTGGGTTAAGACTACCTGCAATGCTGGCATCCCATAATGGAGTGCCAGTTCTTTCATAAGTAAGTTTGACTGTTAAAAAAATTCTTTATTTATTTTGAGGTACACTTAAATAAGAGACTGATAGACTTATGATTCCTTATGAAGGACTACACTATTGTAACAAAATGGGAAAAATCTGACGAGGGTGGGAGTTTGGGGGGGAAATCATAGCCTACACAAAATTGTACCACACAATTCAAAATTCAAAATAAAAATATATTCAAAATAAAAATATATTTGAAAAAAGAATTTTTTATTTATTTGAAAGGTAGAGTAACAGGGGAGGGACCGAGAGAGTGGTCATCTGCTGATTCATTCCCCAAATGGCTGCAATGGCTGATGCTTGTCCAAGACAAAGCCAGGAGCCCAAAACTCCATCTGGATCTTGCACATGCATGGCAGGGCCCAAGGAATTGGGCCGTGTCCTAGTGCTTTCCTCGGCATGTTAACAGAAAGCTGAATGGAAAGTGAAGCAGCCTGACTCAAACTGCGCTCCAGTAGGTGATGCCAGTATCGTAAGTGGAGGCTTAACTGGTTGCACAACACTATCAACCCCTATCACAAGGATTCTTCCAGGGTAGCTTAGGATATGGAATAACTGAACCTATATGAGAAGAAGAGGGGTACCAATACTGGAAATTTTATTGATTTTGACATGGAAAGATAAGGAGTTCCAATTTGACGGCTTCATAAGTAGTGAGGAGAATGGATAAATTTCAAGGGAGAGAGAAGTAGGCATCCCATTGAGGGTAAGGATGGGCGAGTTTAGTATAGGAGAGCAAGTGTCATTGAATACCTATTTAAAGTTTGAGGTCATGGAGTTAAACTGAAAACAGCATGCCTAGTTATATATATATATATATATATATATATATATGTATATGCCTACTCTACCACATTGAACTATTTGAGTGAAAATGGGGATTATGGTTCATATAGGTTTGGAGTTTATGGGCAAAGAGGAAATGACAAGAAGCTAAAGGTCTTGACACAAGAATTGTGATAAAGATGAGCTCTCAACATTTAAACAGAGGAAGAGGCCCTGAAGAAGAAAGAAAATTATGGAGTCACCAGAATGTCGAGCTCAGTGAAGTTGAAAACAGTTGAATTGGTTGTACCAGTATAAGAAAAGCTCACATGGCAAGAACTTCATTTTGAAAAATAGAACATATGATCACTGGTAGTTGTGTTTCTCATAAGTCTTGGGGTGTAATAATGGGAGTTACAGATTAAGTGAAAAAAATAGTTGGTGGGGAAATCAAACTAAGAGCTGAGGTTTGGGGGCCAGTACCCTGGCATAGCAAAGTAATCCTCTGATTGAAGTGCCGCCATCCCATATGGATGCCAGTGCTAGTCCAGGCTGCTCCACTTTCGATCCAGCTCTCTGCTTATGGCCTGGGAAAGCAGCAGAGGATGGCCCAAGTCCTCATGGAGGACTAGGAAGAAGTTCCTGGCTCCGAGCTTCAGGCCAGCCCAGCTCTGGCTGTTGTGACTATTTAGGGAGTGAACCAGTGGAAAGAAGATCTCTTTCTCTGTGTCTCCCTTTTTCTCTCTGTAACTCCAACTTTCAAGCAAAATAAATATTTATATATACATTTAAGTTGAGGTTTTTGTTGGTCATCTGAGTGGTTATCAATGACTTAAAGGAGAGTGAGGGTCATGAATGAGGATGAGTGTAAATGATTAGTGGATGGCACAGTAGGGGAAGGTGATGTGGCTGGGTAGCATGAGTCGCAGAGAGGCATGGAATATGTAAGAATGAGGGGAGATAATAGTCTGGAAGTGAAGTGGAGAGGAAGAATACTCCAGTTAGCGCTTAGCCCTCATGTCAACAGGATATATGAGAACTGGATTGAAAAGTACGCTGAGAACTCGGCAGGGGAAGATTTCCACTCAGAGAACACAAATGGGTGGTGGGAGTTTCCTGATCACAGAGGAAATTCCAAGCTCCTGAGTAAAGGAATCTGAGGAAAATAAGAGTGAGGGATTCGGGAAGAACAGGGATAAACAACATTGCAGAAATAAGAGTTAAGAAGAAGGACAAGTTATAAGGAACGGGTAGGCCTGTTGCTAGTTGAGAAGACCTTGGTCTTGGAGGACAGGCACTCAGTTCTAACTCTGCACAGAAGTATACATTCCTCTATCTTGGAAAGTTCTGTTATATTCAGCCATAGAGTATACATGTACAGAATTCATGACACTTTTATTCCTTAATTAAGCCATACCTAGACAAACAACAAAAACAGTGGGCTCAAAGGTGAGACTTAATACTGTGCATTATTGCTTAAGAAAATTGGCACATTAGCTTAGGAGTCACATACAGTGAAAAAAGTACTGGCCTAGTACTGTGAAAAAGTGGCTTTCATTCATACACTTGCTGCTTGCTAAGGTTACTTGCCCCCAAGTTCTTGCTTTCATTATGAAACAAAGCCAGCAATAGTTGTTGTGATTACTTTGCAGTCAGTGATTAGATGAGATAGCATTTGTGGGGGTCTGTATTGTGAACACTAAAGTACTACACAAATACTTTTGTTGTCCTGTTATGGAGGAGATTGTCCAGAATCTCCAAAATGCCTCAGATAACAGCAAGGCGGACTCATCTGGAGGTGAGGAACATTATTAGTTCTTTGGATTATAAGTAAAAACATGAGTGAGCCACGTATTTGGTGTTACAGGAAACATTTCAGAAGCACATAGTGTAAGGATTAAGGAAGCAAGCCCTTCTTTCAGGGAACGTCAGGCCTGCCTGTGGAGAACCTATTTTTCCAGCCTGCGGTGTAAATAGTAGGAGCCGTGGCCCAACAGGGTTGCTGGGAGACAAGGGCTAGAAATACCAATTCCTAAAGTAGAGCTTCCTTGCCTTGTTTATGCAGTGGACACCTGGGCAGTCCAGAAACTTCTCTAGGCCCCTTCCGAAATTTGTATTTTAGGGCATAAAGTGGAATATAAAGCATTGTTTAAAAAATCAGCTGTGAGAATCATAAGACATTTTTTAAAACAAATCCAGGATATACTTACTTATTTGCTTAGTCTGAGCCAGATAGCAAAATCTAGCAATGGATTTATTACCATTATTTTAAAGTTAAATGTGATACTAAAATGTGATGCAAGTTATCAATAATATAAGAGAATATCTGATTTCTTTTGACAGAAGAAAGTATTAAATGTAGCTAGTGCTACTGTGGCTTATTATGTTTTTATACAAGTGTTTGTAATTGAAGAAATTGTCACATTTCAGATAAAAGTTAGTGAAATTGAAGATTAATTTTGTTCCTGAGTTTGTGAGCTGCTACATTCTATTAAAAGGATTAAAAAAAAGACCCCTCCCTAAGTTCTGTGGGCCTCAGAGCCAGAGCTGCTACTCTAGAGTGGCTGGGGGTGATTGGGCTTGCTGCTTTTCTCACATGCATTTCCTAGTACTTACAGAGACCAGTAGGCTCAGGTCTGCTCCTTTGCCTAAAGGCTGGTTTCCTCATTTGGTTTTGTTAGGTTTTTCCTGATAGATCTTGAGGTTGTGTTGCTACAGGCATGCTAATTAAGGATTGTTACAGCCTGCTCTTGTTGCATCCTTTCATCATTGTGGTTTGAAGTCTGCTTTTTCTGATATGTAACTGCACTGGCTGCTTTTTGGTGAATTAGCAGAGTATACCATTTTCATTCCCTTAGAATTTGTGTCTTTATATTTATTTTTAAAATACATTCATTTAATACATGCTTCCATCCACTGGTTTACTCCTCAATTGTCCAGAATGGCCAGGAGTGAGGGGCAAAACTGGAACCAGGAACTTAATCCAGGTCTTGTGTGTGGGTGGTAGGGACCCAAGTACGTGAGCCAGTGTGCAGTCACAGGAAGCTGGAGTCAGGAGCCAGAGGCTGGCATTGAATCGGGGGGATTTGGACACACCCAAGCAGCAGCCTAAGCAGCTAGTCCAGATACCCACCCCATCTTCATGGCCAACTTATGTCTTTCTAATAACATGTAGTTGGACTCACTGATAAAATAATTTATTTCTAAAAAGAAGTCAAGTTTAGGGTTTTATTATTTTATGTGAGTAAATAACAACAAAATTTTAACATGATGTCCCATCTTAATATTATGTTTCCTATTTTCACCGAGATGCTTCTTTTGATTAGGATTTTTTCCTCCTTTCTTCTAGCCTCCTTTTTGTTCTCTCATTCAGGATTCTGTGGATGCTAAATGATAGGAAGCCAGTTTAGAATAGTGAGTGAATACTTGTTGGAGACTCTAGAACTACTGACTATGAATCTTTAGGAGAGCTACTGGATGGGGCAGTTCCTGGAACCCTGGGCAGTGAAACTAAAGATGCAGCCCCAGCCATCCTGTCTCTTCACCCTTCACCTCTGTTTCTAATCTTTGCTTCTCTCTCTCTTTTCTGTTGTTTACGGTCTCACATGATAGTGAGGTAGCCCTAGGTTTACCTTCTCTCAGTTCAGTGAACTCAGAGAAATCAGGTTTTTTTTTTCTGCCCTCTCAAGCTGTGTGAATCCCAGAGAAAGAGTGTGGCCTGGCTTGGGTCATTCTTAAGGGGTGAGGGACTGTAATGGTTAGGCCAAGTGTCATGGTCCTTCCTCCATGGGAGGCAGTGGGAAGGGTCCTGAGTCAGTCAGAAGGAACAGGACCACTTAGGGTGGGTGATTGGCCACCCTAAGGAAGGAAATGTTGTTGGAAGAAGGGAGAAAAGACAATGCTGAACAGACAATGACAAGTTTCTGCTAAGACACTTAACGTTTTGGCAAGTTTGTTTACTTTGAAATTGTGAGCTATTTAAAAGCAAAGACTGTAGACTTGTAAGTCAGGAAGCCTTGATTGGAACCCCTTTGAATCTTTCATAACACTTTGCACGTGCTTAGGTGCTCAGTAATCAATTGTTTATTTTAATGTCCATTTGAAATACCTCTTGATTATTTTGACTTACTCTGGTCAACATTTTAGGCGGACATTATCTGTTTTATTAGCTTCGAATTAAGTCTTTCAGTGATTGCTTCTGTGTCTAGTTCATGATCTTATTTGTATATGTTTTTAATGACTTGGTTAAACTATATATGTCAAAAACATGTCTAAAGAATACTCCTTTTCAAACAAATGATAAGCAAATTATCTCCCAACCCCTATTTTCAGTGGATTGCTTTATTATTGCAAATAGAAAGTGGATAATTTTGACTTATGTGTCTCGGTGTAACATGGCATACTTATTGTATCAAGATTTTTGAAATCTGTATTTCTTTAAATTAGTTTTCCTTAGTTTAACTTTAGGAATTTTTGTCTTCCAATTAAAATCAACACATTATTACATAATGCAAAGATATAATCACTTACATATTGACTTATTTCCATTTTCTCCTCAGGAACTGAGAGAAAGCTATCATACACAACGGTTAGCCCTTGAACAGCTTCATAAGATCAAACATGATAAGTTGAAGGAAATTGAAAGAAAAAGATCAGAGCTAATACAGAAAAAGAAACTAGAAGATGAGGCCACAAGGTAAAATAGCTGAAAAATTTATTGTACATTATTGCTGTTAGAATTCTAATTTTGTTTCTCAAATCTTTGGTTTAACTGAAAATGTAATAGTTGTCATAAGTTATAATCACATTCTAACTTTTGTCAGTGCATTGCTACATGTAAACTCCATTTATAGTTACCAGTTTTTTGTTCTGTGAGTGAAAGTTACATTGGAGTCGGACCTGATTGTTGGCCTTCCACTTAGAACATGGGGAGCTTAGTTAAATCACTTTACCTTTCTAACTGCAGCTTTTTCTTCTGATGAAAGAGATAGGGATGTATACCTCCTTGGTAACTGTGTTAATTAAAATAATGCAACTAAAGAGCCAAGTGTAATGTCTTGTACATGATAAGCACTCAGTCGTCTTTAACTCTATTAAAAACATCTTCTTACTATTTCCTGAGAGGTCATAAAACTCAAATGGTTAATTTTAGAGTTAAGTATTAAATACCATGTTGATGCCTCCATGTTTTTATTTAAAGGTTTACCTATTTATTTAAAAGCCAGAATTGGTGACTGACTGGAAGAAATAGCTATCTTCCATCCTCTGATTCACTCCTTATATGCCACCATGACTGGAGCTGAGTTGGTCTGAAGCCAGGAGCCAGAAGCTTCTTCCAGCTCTCCACATGAATGTAAGGGTACAAAGATTTGGGCTGTCTTCCACTGCTTTCCCAGGCACATTAAGTGGAAGCTGGATCGGCAGGGGAGCAGTCGAGACTAGAACTGGTGTGCATAAGGGATTGTAGCACTGTAGGCAAAGGCTTTACCGGCTATGCCACAGCATACCTCTGTATGCCTCCATTTAGATTAAGAAATAATACATTTCTGTAGTATCTGAAGCCTAGAACCATTCTAGAGACGTGATAGGGATTTTTTTTTCTGTTAGTAAGATCTTTTTTCTGATACATTCTGTTTCTCCAAAGGTCTTTCTTGTGTCAAAGTAAGTTTAATTCCTTAGTAACCGTCCATAAGGCAGTATTGCTTTGCTATAGTAAAGAGTGGACGAATAACACCTGTGAAAGAGCTGGTGTTTTCCTGGGAGCTAAGGCAGATACACTACCATTTAGGAGGCCTCAGTTGTTAATAGCTCCAAAATAGACACTTCAACACATTTTTACTTAGTGGTGTTCTCAGCTGCCATACAGGTAGACTCTGGATTACTCCTCACTCTTCAGTTTCTCATAATTCTAATAGAAGATTTAGAAATCATACTGTTTACTCGGACCTGGCATTGTGGTATTTCAGGTAAAGCCACTGCCTGCAGTGCTGGCATCCTGCATGGGCACGGGTTCGAGTCCTTGCTGCTCCACTTCAGTCCAACTCCCTGCTAATGTGCCTGGGAAAGTAGTGGGAGATGTCCCAAATCCAGGCACCCCTGAACCCGAGTGGGAGACCCAGAGGAAGTCTGACTCCTGGCCTCGCCTGGTCCAACCCCAGCTGTTTGGGCTGTCTGCAGAGTTAAACAGCGGATAGAAGACCTCTGTCCCTCTCTTTGCCTCTCCTTTTTTCTCTCACTTAGCTTTCTTTTCCTCCCTCTCTGTCTAATGCTACCTTTCAAGTAAATAAAAGAAATGTTTCTTTTAAAAAATATGTATGTACTGTTTACTCCAATACCTCTAGTTTTGTGGCCTCCCAGCAGAACAGTACAGACCTAGAGGCAGAGACATTCACATTGAAACTCCTGTTAGCCACCTCATGTTGGCAAGGCACCTGTGCCTGGCTGCACAGCCCGTCCCTGTGTCAGAATCTTCTGGTGCTTGCAGTGGTATCTTTTTATCTTGCTCACAATTTCTTTCAGGCCATTGTATGATAGTAACACACATTTTTATTTAATTGATCATCCTTGTACATTATCCTGCTGTAGTAGAGAGAAGAAATCAAGGAGAACGGAAGTACAAATAGGATGTAACCAGTTCAAGACTGGGTGTTACTTAGCATTGTGTCTTAGTAGTTTGCTTTGGCCCTTTGCCCAAATATCTTCCCTTCTTGTCCTAAGCAGTGATAGTCAAGTTTTCATATTGTAGAGATGGTCTCTCCTGGCACTACATCAGTTTCTCATTCGCTAACTTATGTTCATTTAGTGAACCCTCTGGTCTTTTTCTTACACTACTGAATATGTGGTAAGTACTCTGATGATGGTGTCTATAATATTGTACTAATTTAAACAAAGGCTCCTTTGGATCATGCTACACTTGGGAGTATGTCAGAGAAACTGAAAAGAACGATAAAGGGGATAGTATTTGTGATTAGATACAAACTTCAGGAGAAGCCTTGTCCACAAAAGGGAACTGGATTCCAGTTTTTGGAAGCCACTGCCGGCATTCTGTGATGTGATGAGTGTCAAAGATCTTGGAAAGGGTTGTGAGGCAGCTGCTTGTAGCATCAGTGTACGGTGGCTTAGGGAAAAAGTGCATGGTGACTTAGGGAGAAAGCACTAACTGAGGACCTGCTTGCTTTCTCCTTTTATTTTTTAGACTATCCAGGTTTCTAAATTGCTCTAGGATTCAGGAATAGAAACATGAAATTAAGCTAGCATTCCCACTCTGATGGAATATAAAAGCTCCCAAATCCCAGGGAGGTAAGCAGTGTAATCTGTACTGCTCCTTAGTAGTAGTAGTACTGTCCTTTAGAAAAGGTGATAAATTGAGTGATGGCACCTCTAACGAAGGCCATATAAATATACATAAGGACGATATATGTGAGTTCTAATAGTGCAGTGATTAAGTCTGATTACAGATTGGCTGGAAATCAAGCTACAGCTATGTTAGATATCATGACATGAAAGAGAAAGGATAGACAGAGCTCCCTCCCATCTGCTGGTTCACACCCCAAGTGCCCAGAGTAGCCAGAACTGGGTGAGGGGGAACCTGAGAACCAGGAGCTCATGTGAGTCTCCCATGTGGGGCAGGGACCAAACAACTTGAGTCACCAAAATCTGCCTCCCAAAATCTGCATTGGCAGAAACCTGGATTTAATTAGGAGTCCAGAGGCCACTCTAGTATGTGATAGAAGCATCCCAACCTGATACGTGTCGTAAGCAATAAGCCAAATGCTGCCCCCAAGGGACTTTTTGAAGTAGTAGCACGAAAGCAGATAATCTTTCCAGAAGCACTTATTTTCACAGCAATGATTGGATTCCAAGGGTGAAGATTTAGATGGAATTGTGGGAATTAAAGCTGGAAGGTAATCCCGGTGAAGATTCCCCTATGAGAAGGGAAGAACTTTAAATGTAGTTGTTAGATTTGTTTGTCAAATGATTCCATTTCATTGCCCCCACCCACTTTTTCTTTTTGTTTAGAGACTGGCTAGCTGGAGGGAGAATGGGTGTGAGATACAGGGAGCGATGCAGTCTAGCTCATCTCTTTAGTCCAAGGCTCCTCTTTGGATTGGTTGATATTGCTTTGTTTTCTGCTCCTACATTGACCCCCATTCATTCTCTCCTTCTTTCTAGTAGTTTTTTAGCTAGATAACTAGATCTTATTTTATACTTTCATTTGATGTAAACCATTCTTATGTCATTCTGAAAATTTGCTTTCTTTTAAATATAGGAAAGCAAAGCAAGGAAAAGAAAACTTATGGAAAGAAAGTCTTAGAAAGGAGGAAGAAGAAAAACAGAAGCGACTCCAGGAAGAAAAAACACAAGAAAAAGTTCAAGAAGTAGAACGTAAAGCTGAGGGCAAAAAAAGTAAGAATAAAAGTTAAAATAATAGATTTAGTGCTGCATTTGATCTTCAACTTCAGTGCCTGGTTCCAGCTTCCAGTGGAAGTGCTCCCTGGGAGACAGCAGGCTCTCTGTCACCCCTGTGGGAGACCTGGGTGGAGTTCCTGGCTGTCCCTGGATCCTGGCTGCACCTGTTGCCGCTGTGCTTATCATAGTCAGTTGGGGAATGAACTGACAGGTGGACCATTGCCCTGCCTAACTGTGTCTCTCAAATTAAAAGCAAAAATAAAAAATATTTTATAAGATGAAATGACAAGCTAAAATGAAGGAAAATCAAAACAGAAAAATGTTTACTCTTAGAGTCAAAAGAAGAAAGAAAATCTTACTAAATTATACTTCACTTACTAGAACAGTCTGAGGGTAGACATCTTAACAGGAGAAAAGAGCATTGTCTGTAGACTGACTGTAGGAGGAATCCTGATGTTGTTTTGGTAGCTGAAGCAAAGTTTTAACAACTGTATTCAGCCAGTGTAAACAAGCTATTGGTTTTAATCAAACAGCAATAGATCTTTGTACTCTGATGTTATCTCAGAAGATACAGTTTTTTAATATACCTTAGAGTCTATTCCTATAATACTCTATTATTATTTCCCCTTTGGACACACAAAACCTTGATCTATATTCCTGTAAGAATGTGTCAAAAACTTGACAAATTCATGATAAAGTGTTTTTCTAAAAATGAGCGTTATAGGAAGGACATTTGGCTTCCTGGGTCAGACACCAGTTAGGACATCTGCATCCCATTCCCAGGTTGTTGGGTGTGATGCCAAACTCTGTTCCTGACTCCAGCCCTCTGCTAATCCTCCAGGCAGTGTGGCTGCCTCCAGCTGGCCTCCTATTGCACATGTGTGAGACTTGGATTAGATTCCCGACTCCTAGATTCTGCCTTGAGCCCCGTTGTGAGCATTTGGGAATAAACCATTGAGTGGTAGGCTCACTTTCTGCCAAATAAGTAATAAGAAATTCACAAGAAAATATATTTAATATTATCTCCTTTTTTATTTTTGGACCTGTCTACTTTTCTTTCACACTAATTCATCTGTAGGTCTTTCTTGAGCCATTTTATTTTCTGAACTTCTCATTGCTGGCCTCTCTCTCTTTTTTTTTTCCCCCCCCTTTTCTTTCATATTTTGAGCTTCATAGGTCAAACCACATCTTTCTGTGCTTTGTCTCCTTTCAGTTAGTACGATTTGGCCCGCCACTGTTCTCAAACGTTTCTTCAGATCCATGTGCTTGTGTGTCAGCCTGCAGATTCACTTCAGATGAGCATCCTTATTTGCTTTTGTATTGGCTATATGATTGATCAAGATATTTAAATTCTAACAAATATATATCAAATGGATTTCCCTTATAGTGTTTGTTGTTGTTTAGTTTTGTTTTAGATTTTAAGAATTCTCTGTTGAACCATAACAAAGGTATATGTACATAATGTGGCAAATAATGACAATTTTCTTTTTAGGTGAAACACATAATGCTTTGGTGAATTATAGAGCATTATATCCCTTTGAAGCGAGGAACCATGATGAGATGAGTTTTAATTCTGGGGATATAATTCAGGTAGGAAAAAAAAGGTTGTTTTTTTTTTTCTGGTAAATAGGCTATAATACATTATTTTCTATAATAATATTGGCTATAATTTTATGTAGTTATTTAACTTTTAAAGTGTCTCTTAAAGGGCTGGATTGTGGCAATGCACATAAAGCTGCATCCTGCATTGTTGGCATCCCACTTGGCTCTAGTTTGTGTCTGGGCTGCCCCACTTCTGATCTAGCTCTCTGATAATGGCCTCGAAAAGCAGAAGAAGGTGGCTTAAGTGCTTGGGCCCCTGCTGCTCACATGTGAGACCTGGAAAGACGCTTCTGGCTACTACTTTGACCTGGCTCAACCGTAGCCAGTGGGGCCATATGGGAATTGAACCAACTGATGGAAGATTTCTTCTTGTTCACTATTTGGCTCTCCCTCTCCTCCTCTCTATCTCTGTAACTCCAACTTTTATATACATAAATGAAAAGATAGCAAAATTTTGAAATACAAATATTTCTTAGACATAACTTCATGGGGCCTTATGTTTAGAGCTTCCTGAGGTGGCTGGGATTGCCCTGTTCCAGTGGAGGAGGCTCAGGCACTCAGACTGTAACCGTCAGGTCCCCAGTTCCCAGATGGGATGCAAGTGTATGTCTTCTGATTTCCAAATCCACAGTTCTTTTCATTGTGCCATATTTATTTTGTTCTTTTAATAATGTACTGTAAATTGGTGGGGAGGGGACTCCTTGACTATTTTATAGCTGTTGTTGGAAAAGTTGAAGAAGTTAGTTTCTGCAGCCCTAACTGTATGCAGGTTATGGGGGAAAATTGTCTTTATTATACTTTCAAAATCCATGTGAAATGGATGAATAAGAGAAGATAGTGTTTGAGAAAGCCAGGACAATGGGAAGAGTTACTAGGACTTCTGTCACTGTTTGTTTTCTTTTTTGTAAATTAAGCTAATGTTACCTAGAGTCTGTAGCCAGTATCTGTTTTCTTTTGTCCCTGCACTGTCAACCAGTTTGGTGTATTATTATGAGTTAGGTAGCAAAGGTTTAGTGATCCTTACAGTGGGGTTTACCAGAACTCAAGAGATAATCCCCACATACTCCTTCTGTTGCCATTTTCACCACTGGCAATTTCATCCTGCTCCTGAGTGGAAAGAGATGGAGGTTGACAGCTTGTCTGGACTGCTGCCAACCGTTGATCCTCCTCCACTGGTTGGGAGTGAGGCAACTCAGCAATGAAAGGTCATCGTTAAATAAAACAGTATTAGGAAATGGGATAGCCATATGCAAAAAAGTGACTTTTTATTTATTCCTTATAACACATAAATTAAGTCAAAATAGATAAAATAAAAAGCCTAGAACTAGAATTTCTAGAAGAAAATGTCAAAAAATCTTTATGGCTTCTGGTTTCTCAGTGTTTTTGTTCTTCTTGTTATTAAGATTTATTTATTTGAAAGAACAACAGAAATGAAAAAGAAAGATCTTCATCCACTGGTTCACTCCCTAAATAGCTGTAACAACCACAGCTCAGCCAGACTGAAGCCAGGGGCCTGAAACTCCATTTCAGTGGAAGCGGCCCAGGCACTTAGGCCATCTTGCACTGCCTTCCCAAGTGCAGAAGAGCTAGGTCAGAAGCAGAGCAGCTGGACTCCCAGTGAGTACTGTAATATGGGATGCGTGAGTCCCAGGTGGCAGCTTAACCCAGTGTGCCACAATGCCAGCCGCAAAGTTTTTTTTTTTTTTTTTTTTGCAGTCTGTCATATAGCTAAGAAGGAGGGAGCAGTGGAGCTCCACCAAGTAACTAATCCAATCCAGTCTGCCCCCAAAGACCCTACCTTCTAGTGCTTTAATTTGAATCAAGCCTCTCCCCAGTCAACCATTAGCATTAATCTGTTAGCCATTAACATCACACTTGAGTTTAAACATTGGTTAAGAGTTTGGGGAGTCAAGTCCTCTTCAGTCCATAATAAAATGTAAGAAAGGTAAGAGCAAGGACTTTTTTATATTTACAATGAGTAAGTCTTTGCTGGTAAGAATAATAAACTATCAATAATTAAGGCGTAGGAGTAAATGAGGAGAGAAAATTTCAAGTTTCAATGTGAGTTGAGTTTCCATGGGTCATCCACTTGGCAACATCTCAGTCGTTAAGGCATAGTGTGTCTTTTTGAAGGTCTGAGAGCTTCTGAATTTGTTACTACATACAGAACCGATCAGATTGTACAAATGAGCCCATTCAGGAAGTGTGTAGCCTGAGGCAGGAAGCCTTGCTGTGCTATCAGTGTGGAAGGGACAGGGACCCAGAAGCAGAGGAAGACAGTCTGAGGACAGAGAGGAGGTCACACTGTAAGGAAATGTCTGGTCAAAGAAATGAAGTTACAGTTAGAAAGCAGCATTCAGAGATTTTCTACTGCAATTAGCAAGATCAAGAAGTTTGTGAAATAGAATCAGAATAAAAGAACTTAAAAAGCAAGAAAATGGTGGCCAGTGTTGATGGTTGTAGTATACCACCTGTGAGCAACTTCCTGTATGCGCACCAGTTATAGTCCTGGCTACTCCAGTTCCCATTCAACATCCTGCTAATGTCCTGGGAAAGCACCAGAGGATGGCCCAAGTGTTTGGGCCCCTGCACTCATGTGGGAGACCCAGAGGAAGCTGCTGGCTCAGCCCTAACCCTTTCAGCCACTTGGGGATATTTTTCCCCATCTCCCTCTCTCTGTAACTCTGCCTTTCAAATAAAGAAAGAAAATCCTTAGAAAGAAAGAGAGGAAAAGAGAAGAAAAGAGGAAACCATTATGAACAGCAAGTGGGAATCAGAGCTAAGGAGCAAGTAGGGGAAGTTTGCTTTACACTGTAAGCCATGTGTAATGCTTTTTGTGGTTGTAAATGTTTTCATTATTAATTTGGGTAGCATTGGAATTTTCAGTGTAAAAAGCTGATTTGTCAGTCACTAGCAATAGTAGCCATTAATATAAATGGCTACTAGCTTACTGGTACAGTGGGTTAAGTCACTGCCTGTGATGCCAGTATCCCATTTGAGTGCCCACTCAAGTTCCACTTCTGATCTTGCTCCCTGCTAATTTTAGTGCCAAGGAAACCAGCAGAGGATTACCCAGGTACTTGGGCCCCTGCCACCCAAGCAGGAGACCTGGTTGGAGTTATTAGGTCCTGGCTTCAGCCTGGCCCAGCCCTGATGCTGATAGTCATTTGGGTAGTGAAACAGTGGATGAAAGATCTTTTTCTCTGTCTCTCCCTGTAATCTGTCTCTCTGCCTTTCACTCAACTAATCTTTTTAAAAATTTTATAAACTGTACCTTAACTATGAATTAAATGGACTGAAAAGTTAGAATACTATATAACAATCTGCATATTTTCACATTTTTATAAATCTCTTTCCACATTTATGAATGTGTGAATTCTAAGCACTGTGAACACTTTCTTTTTTTCCTATAGGTTGATGAAAAAACCACTGGAGAACCTGGTTGGCTTTATGGTAGTTTTCAAGGAAATTTTGGTTGGTTTCCATGCAATTATGTAGAAAAAATACCATCAAATGAAAAAACTGGATCTCCTAAAAAGGCCTTACTTCCTCCTACAGTATCATTAGCTGCTACCTCAACTTCTTCTGAGTAAGTGTTTAGCTAACAGAGGAATTTATGTAGCTGTACCGGCATGTGAACACGCAACTCATAGATGTGCAAGCCTACCACTTTGCCTCGTAATAATCTGAACCGATTGGACTTTTTCTAAGAATATCTTTTGTTCTGAATTTAATAACAAAATTTAATCAGTGGAAACATAGATCAGTAGTGTATTCATCAATTTCTCTTTTTTCTCTATAAATTGCATTTAATACACTATGTGTATCACAAGTTGATAAGTTGGTAGTGATTCATTAGTTTCTAAGCAGTAAGTCATACTTACAAAAAAAGTGTTGTATTTGCAGACCACTTTCTTCAAATCAACCAGCATCACTGACTGATTATCAAAATGTATCTTTCTCGAACCTAAATGTCAACATATCATGGCAGAAAAAATCGGCTTTTACTCGCACTGTGTCCCCTGGATCTGTGTCACCCATCCATGGACAGGTATCTTGTCTGTACTTTCTTTGAATTTGCTCCTGATGTGATATAAACAAAATTATGATTTTACACAGTCATCTCACCAGGTTGTAACGTTTAGTTTTTATTCTTATCAATTCACATGATATGAAGTTGAAGAAATGATTATATACATATTTCTTCACAATTAATTCCCATTACATAAAGTTGCTAATAGTTGCCTCTAAGTTCAGAGTATCATTTTTGTAATTTCTATTATAAATTCTTTGTAGTTACTGAGAGTAATTTAAAAGTTTTGGGGGACTTTAACGGCATCCATAATTTTTTTCCTTAAATAATTCATTTGTCTGGGATCCTTGGAACAGTTTTGCATATGTTTAGCCTTTGGAAGTAATGGGAAATAGAAATAGAAAGTAAGTTTATTTTGGTGCAAAAATTTTAAGTCCTGGACAGGAGTTTGGCACGGTGAAAAAATCACTTGGAAAGTCTGCATCCCATTTTGGAGTGTTTGGTCTAGGTCGTGGCTCCTATGCTTCCTACCCAGCTCCCTGCCAAGGTGTACCTGGGAGGCAACAGGTGATGGTCTGAGTCCAAGGGTCCTCGCCACCCACGTCGGGTACCCAGAGGGATTTCTGACCTCCTGGCTTTGATGTGGCCCAGCTGCAGCTGTTTCAGATGTTTAGGAAATGAGCCAGGAGGTGGAAGATCTTTCTCTGTTTCACATGCATGTGTGCTCTCTTTCTTTCTCTTTCTCTCCCTCTCTGCATTTCAAATAAGATACAAATAATTTTTAATTTCATGTATTTTTTTAAAGATTTTATTTTATTGTTTGAAGATGGAGTTACAGAGAGAAAATCAGAAACAGAGACAAAGAGAGCTTCATCTACTGGCTCATTCTCCAAATGGCTGCACTGGCCAGGGCTCAGCTTATTTGAAGCCAGGAGCCTCTTCCAGATCTCCCACCTTTGTGCTGGGGTCAAAAGCTTTGACACATCCTCTGCTGCTTTCCCAGGATGTAAACACAGAGCTGGATGGGGAGTGGAGTAGCCGGGACTTGACTGCAACTCTCTGCTAGTGCAGACTCTGGGAGGTTGTGGTGATGGCTCAGGTGGTCAGGTTCCTGTCATCTGTGTGATGAAACTGCATGGAGTTTCCAGCCGCAGCATCGGCCCCAACCTACACCTGTGATAGTATAGGTATCTGGGACATGAACTAGTAGATACAAGTTCTCTCTTTCTCTCCCTCTTCCTGTCTTTTTCTCTGTTTGTCTCTCTCTACTTGTATCAAATATATTAACTTTTTAAAATATCAGGTGAAGTTGTTCTTTGCTGTTTATTTGTTGCTATATAAAAAAACCACTCCAAAATGGTAAAATAAAGTGTGTATTTCATCACCGTAAGTCCCAGAAATTCTAGTATATGCTAGAAATTTAAGGAAAAATGAGGCAGAAATCCCTACCATCTGTGGCTGGCATCATAACATACCAAGTTAACCGCTTTCTGCAATTCTGACAAGCAGTATGGGCACCAGTTTAAGTCCCAACTGCTCCACTTCCCACTCAGCTCTCTGCTAATGTACCTGTGAAAAACAGTAAAAGGTGGCCAAAATAAGAGACCAAGATGCAGCTCCTGGCTCCTGGTTTCAACCTGGCCTAGTCCCAGCCTTTGCAGCCATTTTGGGGGATGAACTGGTAGATGGAAGATCTCTCTCTCTCTCTTTTTTCTTTCTCTCTTTCTGTCTCTTTCTGTCTGTTTCTCTCTCACTCCTATTCTGTAACTCTGTATTTCAAGTGAATCTTTAAGAAAAATTTGTGTTAAATTCCTACCATCAGGGGTGGGTCTCAGGACGGGGCGTCTCATGCCTGGATCCCGGACGGCCGCCATGGGCACATGGTGAGCCGTCCTCCCCGGGCCTGCTGGGTTTCGGGGGCCGCTTCCTTCGGGGTGAGTAGACCGAGGGGGGGAGGCCTCCGGGACTGGGCAGGTCCGGGGCCCACCCGCCGCCTTCATGGGGCGGTGAATGGGATTTGGGAGGGGCGCGACCTTGGGCCTGGGTTATTTAAACCTCCGGCAGTCTCCTGGCAGCTGGTGGGTCTCAGGACGGGGCGTCTCATGCCTGGATCCCGGACGGCCGCCATGGGCACATGGTGAGCCGTCCTCCCCGGGCCTGCTGGGTTTCGGGGGCCGCTTCCTTCGGGGTGAGTAGACCGAGGGGGGGAGGCCTCCGGGACTGGGCAGGTCCGGGGCCCACCCGCCGCCTTCATGGGGCGGTGAATGGGATTTGGGAGGGGCGCGACCTTGGGCCTGGGTTATTTAAACCTCCGGCAGTCTCCTGGCAGCTGGTGGGTCTCAGGACGGGGCGTCTCATGCCTGGATCCCGGACGGCCGCCATGGGCACATGGTGAGCCGTCCTCCCCGGGCCTGCTGGGTTTCGGGGGCCGCTTCCTTCGGGGTGAGTAGACCGAGGGGGGGAGGCCTCCGGGACTGGGCAGGTCCGGGGCCCACCCGCCGCCTTCATGGGGCGGTGAATGGGATTTGGGAGGGGCGCGACCTTGGGCCTGGGTTATTTAAACCTCCGGCAGTCTCCTGGCAGCTGGTGGGTCTCAGGACGGGGCGTCTCATGCCTGGATCCCGGACGGCCGCCATGGGCACATGGTGAGCCGTCCTCCCCGGGCCTGCTGGGTTTCGGGGGCCGCTTCCTTCGGGGTGAGTAGACCGAGGGGGGGAGGCCTCCGGGACTGGGCAGGTCCGGGGCCCACCCGCCGCCTTCATGGGGCGGTGAATGGGATTTGGGAGGGGCGCGACCTTGGGCCTGGGTTATTTAAACCTCCGGCAGTCTCCTGGCAGCTGGTGGGTCTCAGGACGGGGCGTCTCATGCCTGGATCCCGGACGGCCGCCATGGGCACATGGTGAGCCGTCCTCCCCGGGCCTGCTGGGTTTCGGGGGCCGCTTCCTTCGGGGTGAGTAGACCGAGGGGGGGAGGCCTCCGGGACTGGGCAGGTCCGGGGCCCACCCGCCGCCTTCATGGGGCGGTGAATGGGATTTGGGAGGGGCGCGACCTTGGGCCTGGGTTATTTAAACCTCCGGCAGTCTCCTGGCAGCTGGTGGGTCTCAGGACGGGGCGTCTCATGCCTGGATCCCGGACGGCCGCCATGGGCACATGGTGAGCCGTCCTCCCCGGGCCTGCTGGGTTTCGGGGGCCGCTTCCTTCGGGGTGAGTAGACCGAGGGGGGGAGGCCTCCGGGACTGGGCAGGTCCGGGGCCCACCCGCCGCCTTCATGGGGCGGTGAATGGGATTTGGGAGGGGCGCGACCTTGGGCCTGGGTTATTTAAACCTCCGGCAGTCTCCTGGCAGCTGGTGGGTCTCAGGACGGGGCGTCTCATGCCTGGATCCCGGACGGCCGCCATGGGCACATGGTGAGCCGTCCTCCCCGGGCCTGCTGGGTTTCGGGGGCCGCTTCCTTCGGGGTGAGTAGACCGAGGGGGGGAGGCCTCCGGGACTGGGCAGGTCCGGGGCCCACCCGCCGCCTTCATGGGGCGGTGAATGGGATTTGGGAGGGGCGCGACCTTGGGCCTGGGTTATTTAAACCTCCGGCAGTCTCCTGGCAGCTGGTGGGTCTCAGGACGGGGCGTCTCATGCCTGGATCCCGGACGGCCGCCATGGGCACATGGTGAGCCGTCCTCCCCGGGCCTGCTGGGTTTCGGGGGCCGCTTCCTTCGGGGTGAGTAGACCGAGGGGGGGAGGCCTCCGGGACTGGGCAGGTCCGGGGCCCACCCGCCGCCTTCATGGGGCGGTGAATGGGATTTGGGAGGGGCGCGACCTTGGGCCTGGGTTATTTAAACCTCCGGCAGTCTCCTGGCAGCTGGTGGGTCTCAGGACGGGGCGTCTCATGCCTGGATCCCGGACGGCCGCCATGGGCACATGGTGAGCCGTCCTCCCCGGGCCTGCTGGGTTTCGGGGGCCGCTTCCTTCGGGGTGAGTAGACCGAGGGGGGGAGGCCTCCGGGACTGGGCAGGTCCGGGGCCCACCCGCCGCCTTCATGGGGCGGTGAATGGGATTTGGGAGGGGCGCGACCTTGGGCCTGGGTTATTTAAACCTCCGGCAGTCTCCTGGCAGCTGGTGGGTCTCAGGACGGGGCGTCTCATGCCTGGATCCCGGACGGCCGCCATGGGCACATGGTGAGCCGTCCTCCCCGGGCGGCCAGTGCGCCATTGGTGCCAGGCTCCGCCTGCTGGCCGCCCGGCTGGGGAGCTCTGGGGATTTGGTTCTTTGCGTTGCTGCTTAATTAGCTCCAGGTTGAACCCATTGTGCTTCTTGGACCTGAAACAGGCAGTAACTCTTCCTTAGCAAAACTTGTAATCACTAATAATGCTGAGCACCAAATACCAGTCATGCAGAAGCTATGGCTTGGGGCTTGCCCTGCACATGTAGCTCCAACAGTTGGCCAATGTGTCAACTGGTAATGGAACAGAGTAGATTAGGCACGACTGAGCAAACCTTAGCCCACAAGTAAAACTAGAAACCAGGAGGGAGCAGAGGTCATGCCGAGCTAGGCTCTTGTACCTGCTGGTCTGTGGGAGCCTGGGACGCTAAGCCACAGTGTCTAAGGCAGAGTTCGGGACAGGGGAGGGGCTGTGCCAAGCTGAGTCAGAGCATCCATTGGCAGGCATGTGATCTATGCCTGGGAACGGACCCGGTTGGGGAGCAAAGGGGACAACCCTAGCTGGGCTGAGGTTCCCACCAAGAGGCACGTGGCCTGGAAGGGGGCTGCGTTCTGATCTGGAAACAGTTGTAGTCTCCCTTGGCACAAGTGTGGACTGGGATTGGATGCACCGAACTGGGCCGGACCCCGACTCCCCCTGGTGTTCTGGAGGACCAGGGCAGATGTGGGATGGACTAGGCAGGGTCTCAAACCCCTACTGAGCCATGTGTGAGCCATACGTGGGTATGGACAAACCATGGCTGGGCTGGAACATCCAACAGCAAGAACCAGATTGGGTTGAAGGCCAGTCAGGAAAAGCCACAGTTCCTGCTATGACAGGAGGTGGACTGAGTAGGGTTGGCTCATGGACCCACTGGTAAGCGTGAAACCTGGCATTGGGAGAGGTTCTGATGGAGAAGCCTGGGCAACTCCTCTGGCAGGGCACAGACCCAGCAGGTAAACGCAAGAAACATGATAGGAAACAGCCCAGAAAAGGCCATGGAAACCTACCCACTGGCATACAGTTGGCAGACGTGGGGGCAAGACCAGGCTGAATCTGTCCACATCATCCACTGGCAAATCCAGGCACCAGTGTGGGTCGAGCCAGGTTCGGTCGCAACAAAGACTAGTGCACATTATGGAATGCCGAGGTGAGGTTGCCTGTACCAGAAGGGACTGCAGTGCCCAACCAGCCTGAGAACAAGAAAGGAAGTGGGCAGAGCTGGCAGGGGAATAAGGGAGGGTTCCTTTGCTGGACAGCTACTTCCGCAGGAGAGCATGGGCTGGGATGGGGGCAGACCAGACTAGGCAGAGCTACCACACCTGTGCGCCTCATGTGGACTAGATCAGGGAAAAGCCAGGCTGGGCGGATTATTCCTACTGGTGCAAACAAAATTAAAGTGGGCGAGGTTTGTTTGGGCAGCATTAACTGGAATCTGGGAGTGGGAGAGGCCTGGGAGGGAAAAAGTGGGCTCATCCCTCTTGGGTTACCACTTCCACGGGAGGACATAAAACTAAAACAGCGGCTGGGGTGGAATGGGATGTGGGACAGACTGGATTACTGCTACACTTACTGGCAAACCAGGGTAGGGGGTGGGCCTGGTTGGGGTTATTGTGGGTCGCTCCAACCTAGGCTACAGCTCCCGCTGGTTTATGTGAGGGCCAAGTATGTGCTGGGCAGAACCAGACTGGACTGCAACACCCATTGGTTCCAGTGGAAGTCGGGAGTGAAAACAGAACCAACCCAGGAATTGCAACCACCAGCTGATTGGAGCGATGGACGGTGCCAGGCCCTGTACTTGTTAGCACATACAAGAAGTTTCTTTGGAGATCTTCCTAATCTAAATGCTGGACTCAGAACCATAACAAAGAAAAGAGAGAAGACAGAACAGGTCAACCAACCATCTAAGCTATGATGGACTATGTCAATCAGTGGATTTTTCAAAGACCTCATAGTGCTTGGAGCGGCAAGATTGACAGCGATTCATAACTGTTGCAATATCAAAACCACTTGAGCAAGAACCTCAGAGCATGCCCTACACCCGGGACTTGGGGAGGGTGGGAAATTGGGTGGGCCTTCTCCCTTAATACCCCCCTTTTAAACATGAAGGTGACAATATGGAAAACATATTAGTATTATCCACTTTCCTGTAGCCCTTGAACCTTCTTACCCTAATTAACTATGTAAAGAATGTCAAAATAAAATTTATTAAAAAAAAAAAAAATTCCTACCATCAGGCAGTGTATAGTTTAATGAAAGAGGCCTGTAAGTAAGTGTATAGTATGAGAAGTATTGTACCTAATAAGTTCCAAGAAGGCCTGCAAGCAAAGAGCATCTTCAGTCTGCGGGAAGTAGAGCTGACTTCACAAACGGCAAGCTGTTAGACATAAGCAAGATTCCACCAGAAGAGCAAAGTTGTACCCATCAAAGGATAACTTGAGGAAGATCATGGGGACCTGTTAGTACAGGGTGTTTACTGGAAACTAGAATTGTTTGTAGTGTGGCAAGAGTTCAGAATTCTTGATGAAGGATAAAAGAGTGAATTGGAAAAAGAGGTTGAGGTTCATTTATGAAGTGTTTACTACCTTGCTAAGCGGCGTGGCAATAGAAAGTCCTGAGGGGTTCTTAAGGCATTACTGTGTGTGCTTTAGAAAGATTTCTCTGGCAAGAATGCAGAGGCTGGACTGGCGGAAGGAAGCCAAGGAAGGAAACCAGTTAAGGAAGACTATTACAATAGCTGAGTAATGCAGTGATGATGTAAACCAGGGTGCTGGTTATAACAATACATGGAAGAGGACATGGATTCACAGAGTGTTGGGATTTGACACAAAATACATAGTCCATCAAACTGGAGACTGAGACAGAACTTAGAGTTAAAAATAATTCTTTGGAGCGATATCTTTTTGTTGTTGTTGTTTGAAAGTGCAGATTCTAAAAATGATTGCATCTTAGCTGTGTAAAATTTGAGATGTCTGTGTTAGGGAAAACCTGGTAGAAATACTCAGTATGCAGTCGAATACAAGTCTGGATCTCAAGGAATAAAGTTAATACTAGAAATGCAGACTTGAAAAGTCATAGGCGTAAACAAAGATTGCTGAGGGACGTCACATGGAACAGTCACGAGGCCAGATAGAGCCGTCCGTCAGCAGAGTGACCCCAGCGTTGCAGGTGTTTTTGAGTTGTCAGCACTGTTCAGACATCAGGAAAATATGAGTTTGGAAGAAGCGTTTGGCTTTTCTGTTACCATTGGCAGCCTGTTTAGAAGACGTTCATTGGTGCGATTTGTGCAGAAGTTAAACTAGAAGGGACTAAGAAGTGAAATTGGAAAACAAGCTTCAGACTGCTTCCTTTAAGAAATTTAAAAGTGGGAGGAAGTAGAGAAATGGATAAAGAAATTCAAGAGAGGAACTTAACAATGTTATAAAATATTTTTAGAAAAGGGAAGGACATAAAACAAGTTTAGAATACAAGTAAGGAAGTTAACCACATTGAAAATACAAAAAAAAAAAAACCACCCTTTTTTCTGAGTGGAGAGACAGATCAAAGAATGAAGAAGTTTGAGACAGCATAAAATGGAGGGAGGCAGAATATAACTACATCTCGGAATTAGTGAATAAACTACATCAACTGTGGGTGGGAGACTCAGGAACCTGGAAGAGAGGAAAGATCTGTTTCAAGTCACCACCACACTGATCTGACCTGCCGTTTCAACACTAAGTATGCCATATATTGGAAACCAGAAACCGTGGCTACCACTTCTTCTGTCTAAAAAGTGTGTGTTTTTATTCCCAGGGACAGGTTGTAGAAAACCTAAAAGCACAGGCCCTTTGTTCATGGACTGCAAAGAAAGACAACCACTTAAACTTCTCAAAACATGACATTATTACTGTCTTGGAGCAGCAAGAAAATTGGTGGTTTGGAGAGGTGCACGGAGGAAGAGGATGGTTCCCAAAATCTTATGTCAAAATCCTTCCTGGGAGTGAAGTGAAGCCGGAAGAGTAAGCGTCTTTGTTTCCCTAAGATGTGGATTTGGGTGTTTACACTGAGTCAGCAGTAGCTATGACTGACTACAGCAAAACTCAGAGTTAGGACAGATGTTGTGCAGATTAAGCTGCTGCTGGGGACACTGCAGAGCCTTGCTTGGGTCCTGGCTGCTTGACTACTCAATACTTCTGCTCCAGCTTCCTGCTAATGCACTCAGTAGATAGTAGGTGATGGCTCCAGTACTTTGGGTTCCTGCACCCATGTGGGCGATGTTCTGGCTCCTGGCATTGGCTTGACCCAGCCCTGGCTGTGGTGGGCATTTGAGGAGTGAACCAGCGGATATAAGGCCTTTCTCTCTAATTTTCTCTCTCTCACTTTGTCTTTCAAATAAATAAGTAAATTTTATTTAAAAATTTGAAGTTTATGTTTGCATTCAAATATCAGAAAGATAATTCCTAAAGATACAAGAACACACTTCATATTATTTGTACCAGTTTTAGAATGTCTTTTATTATATTTATTTCACAGTTTTCAAAGTGCTTAAAGTTTTACATCTGTTACTTTCTTTGTACCATAAGACAAGTTAGAGAAAGTTCATTTCCTTTGGAACATTTCTCCCCTATGTACCGTAAATTGTCACTAGTTAAATAGTTGTCCCTTTATGTCCAAAGGGACTAATTCAGAAGAACCCATACTTCAGGGATGCCAAGATAGATGGGCTCTCAAGTTTTGTAGATAGTTACAAAGTGTCTGCATACAAGCTACACACATGCTCAAGTATACTTGAGATTGTCTCTAGGTTACTTGCAATATCTAAGAACTATAAATGTTCTGTAAGTAATTAGGGAGTGTTGACATAAACATCTATAAAGATGCCTTTTTTCATATTTTCAAATTATGCTTATTTGTTTGAATCTGGATGCAGCACCTGCAGATAGTGAGGGACCAGCCGTAATTCCTTCATCACTACCTCCCTTTCACCAGATTGGGTGGGAGCAGTCCCCATCTGTGGGCCACCAACATTCCCTTGAACCTACCTGTCTCATTGCTCGTGGCTCACCACATTACAGTCACTCTTCTTTTAAACCCATCTTGCTTAAGTTCTATGAGGGAGAGGTTCATATCTTTGTTTCTTTAAATTTATTAATGTTCAATTCCTACAACATAGAGGTGCCCAATTGTATTAACTCAGTGAATAAGGAGAACCATCAAATGAATGAAAGCCTGGAAGAAGACAGGTCATCTCCAGCCTTGATCTCCCAGTCTGTAGGAGAATCATGTGGGCAGTTATCATTCAGGAAATAAGAGCTGCTATATAGCTTTGGGTAATTATCTTTTGTGTTTTCTGAGGTAGTTGATCTGAACGAAAGAGCAGTTTAACTTCATGGAAAAGTACTGGGTTTGAAAATCAAAGGCCTGAGTCCTTGTGTTTTCCAGACTTTGAGGAGAAACCTACATGATCTTCAGAATTCTAGTCATTTGAGTGAAAAGATTAGACACTCTTTAAGTATTTGTAGCAACAACGCTAGCTGAGACTTACATACTGATACTATATTCAGTCCTTTATAGTAATTATCCTATTTAATCTCCATAACATTTTACTGAGAAGAAAACCTAAACAAAAGGAGATTAAGTTTAAATTGTAGTTTTAGGAGGGATTTTGTAGCTTTGATTGTTGCCCATTCTTTCTTGCATATAAACCCGCAGTGATAAGCAATTCAGCACTAACCAAGGCAGCAGTGGCTGTATTGAGGCGCCCTCACACTGGCCTTGACACCTGCCTCACTGTGTCACTTACTCACTGGCCCTAGGGAGTCCTGGTGTGTCCTCCAGATGTCTGGTTCTTAAACACAATTCTTCCAGAGTTTTTGAATGAGCTAGGGTTGAGATGGAAATTAAAGTTACACCTGTTCTGGGTTTAAGTTTCATTATTTTTATATTTTGAATGTAGTATGCTCTAAACAAGTAATAGAATTCAGATATGCCTTTATTTTTCTCTAAATCAAGCAGAACCTCAGGAGTGTTGTACTGAAAGACTTCCCATTTATCAGTTCAGAAAGGCAACACCTCAGGTTTGAAAAACTGTTTCTAAATTGTATTGAAATGGTGTTAACGTTTTTAAAAGATGTATTTATTTATTTATTTATTTATTTACTTACTTACTTGTTTGAAAGAATGGCAGAGAGGAGACAGAGGGAAGGAGGGAGAGAGAGAAAGATCTTTTCCATCCACTTACTTCCCAAATGCCTGCACCAGCCCAGATCAGGGTAAAGCCAGGAGCCAGGAACTCCATTCCGCTCCAGTCTCCCACATGGATTACGGGGACATTAAGCAGAGAACTCAGCTGCAAGCAGAGTAGCTGTAGTAGCTGATGCAGGCATGGCAAGCAGAGGCTTAATGTATGGCACTGCAATGCTAGTCCCTGCACCACAGTGCCCATCTCTGCATTAACATTTTTTAATATGTAGACGTTTATAAATGGGCAGTTTTTCATCCAGCAGAATGTTGTGTATGAGTATTCTTGGCCTGTACGCAGAGACAATATTTAGTTTATTTTCAGAAAGTGTTAACACCTGCTACAGTCATCAATCACCTTTCTTGGGTTTTGCTTATTTATGACTTTTGCTAACTGTTTCCTCACTTACTTACTGTGTTTGGCAGACCGGAACCTGTGTATGCAGCTGTCAACAAGAAACCTCCCTCTGCAGCCTACCCAGTTGTAGAAGGTAAACTTCTCACAGTGTGTGGTTTAGCTGGGATCATCTCAACTATCCATAAATGATCTGACTTCCCACAGTAGTATTCTCCCTAATTCTGAGTCTTCGTGTTATGGAAAACCTGTCCCTGTCTACTTCATGTGAATATTGAGAATAAAGGAAAATATGGCTGAGAATACATAGCATTTTTAGAAAGTCATTGCTATGAAAATTCAGCATAGACTGGCTCAGTAAATAGGAAGTGCTGCAATGCTTGTTATAGTTAACTTGGATAAGGAAAGTTCCATGCATTTGGTTGTTTGTAATTGCCTTTTAATTACAGTATGCCACATATATCATTAAATGGGGCTTAAGATTAAGGTATATGTTTTCATAAATATTAGCATGAATTTTTTTCTCTGCAGCCCTTTGAGTTCTTTGATTAATTATTTTGATATTGCTAATACGATGAGATTGTGTGCCCTACCATCAGATATTTTGGTTTAAGTTACATACATGTATAAGTGAAAAGCACATGCCTCTTATAAAATTAGTTGAATAGTTGAACCATGTTTTGTTCAAAAATCAGTTTAATGGTAAATTAAAAATATGATACCTGTGTTGAAGACTCTGTGTCACACTAAAAGATGTAAGGCTGAATAAAACAGTCTTCAAATTTCTCCTAGAATGGAGAGGAGAAACATGCCATTGTGGTTAATTCTTTAATGAACAGTCAAAATTTAATGTTGGATAGGACCTAAGAACCCACAGAAGCTTCATGGTGACAAAGGAAGAGAAAAGTCTGTAGACAGAGAAGGTTGCATGGGCCAGGGAGTTGGGGGTGACAGTGTGGGGCACTTCATGTCCCCAGGAAGGCTGGGCCCCTTGGTGTCTTGTGGAATGAATGCTCTGACTTGGGTCCTGGAAAGTACTGCATGAGAAGCCTCTTGGAAACTTCAGTAAACATTACCTTTGCGATCGCCTTTATCGTGTTAAATCAGCTATGTTGAGTAATACTGGGGATATGAACAGTCAGTAGGTTACAAGATGATGTTTCTGATCACCTCCAGTTCATGATCTGCAGATCAAGTCCCATGTTGTCAAATGCTCACATAATTAAAACTGGAAAATAGAGAAGAAACACTTACAAAACCTAGTCACAGTCTGTTCTTAGCAATCATATGAACAGAAGTTGAAGCCAATGTAAATAGTCACATTTCCCTCAAGGTAATTCATTAAAAAACCTTTGTTGAGCATTAACTCTGAGCTAGGGAGTGCTACGAGGTGGTTTGTGATGGAACTTGGCTTCTGATGCTGCTCTCTGCTGCATATTGGTGTTCCTATAACTGTGTATGTATTTAAAAGAATTAAAGGACTTAACACATTATAATATATTTTGCATAACAACATTAAGAACTTTTTGCATGCTTTTAACCAAGTAAATCTCATTGGGCCTCAGTTTCAAAATCAAGAAAGTAAAGGAATAATTGAAATGTCTGTTGGTAGTTGTGACTGATTCTTTGTGGTAAAGTCATAGAAGAACAACTAGAAATGAAGAAACTCCATGATAAAGCTTTGTTTCTTTTTCTAATTTTAGACCTTTATATGAATAGTAGGTTTCCTTAAAGCACATGGCCTTTCATACTATATACAAACCTTAGGGAGTAACCTAGTTTCTGCCTTATTTCTGCAGTCTTACCACTAAATTCACTTATTTTTGCTTGGTTTCCTACAGAATATATTGCACTTTATCCATACTCGAGTGTAGAACCTGGAGATTTGACTTTCACTGAAGGTGAAGAAATACTGGTCACCCAGAAAGATGGAGAGTGGTGGACAGGAAGTATTGGAGATCGAACTGGAATTTTTCCATCAAACTACGTCAGACAAAAAGATCAAGAGGTAGAATTATTTTAGAGCTACAAAGCAGAATCATCCCATTCTTGTAGGTGAAGACTCCTCCTTAAAACAGAGAGCACCTCAGACCAGGCTGCTTTGGTTACAAGGAAACCACTCAAGGTGGCTCCGCTAGAATGGAGAGTATGATAGGGTTCTACTTAGAAAAGAGGTTTAGGATTTCACACAATTCTAGGAGAAGGCACTGTGGGTAGGCTGAGCCTGGTGATGCCGGAAGCTGAGGAGGGTTCTGGAGTCAGGGAGGTGCCCCAGGACCACCTGGAAGGAGTCTGACTCCTGAAGCTCTAACATTGATGTACAACATCATGCACTCTGACTTCTTGCTCTTCATTCCACCACCAATATATGCAGTACAGAAGTTCTCAAACTTTTGGTTTCACCAGCTTTTTATATTGTTAAAAATTACTTGTAATTGTGTTGTGGTTCCGTGGGTTAGGCTTCCACTCACAGTGCCAGCAACCCACATGGGCTCCAGTTGAAGTCCTGGCTGCTCCACTTCCAATCCAGCTTCCTGCTAAAGTACCTGGGAAAACGGCAGAAGCTGTCCCAGAGTCTATTGGAGTCCTCGATGGAGTTCTAGGCTCGTGGCTTCAGTCTGACCCAGGCCTTGCTGTTGTGGCCTTTTGGAAAATGAACCAGTTTGGACCCGGCGCGGTGGCGCAAGTGGTTAAGGTCCTCACCTTGCACACCCGGGATCCCATATGGGCGCCGGTTCTAATCCCAGCAGCCCTGCTTCCCTTCCAGCTCCCTGCCTGTGGCCCGGGAAGGCAGTCGAGGACGGCCCAAAGCTTTGGGACCCTGCACCCGCGTGGGAGACCCGGAAGAGGCTCCTGGCTTTGGATCGGCATAGCATCTGCAGCTCACTTGGGGAGTGAATCATGGGACGGAAGATCTTCCTCTCTGTCTCTCCTCTCTGTATATCTGCTTTTCCAATAAGAAAATAATAAAAATAAATCTTTAAAAAAAAAAAAAGAAAAAAAAAGAGAATTGAACCAGCTAAAAGTACCTAGTAATATTTGCATAAATTAAAACTGAATTGACCTGTTAATTAATTAAAAATAACAAATTCATTACATGATAACATAAATAGCTTTAGTTTATGCAAAACAACTATAATTCTGAAGATAAGTTTGATAACAAGTGTCACTGCTTAATATTTCTGCAAATAATCTGTGTAACAAAGACAGCTAGGCTGTCATGTCTGTTTCTGGTTTCAGTCTGTTGCATTATGTTCTTTTGGTTGAAATATTTGCGTAAGAAGAAAATATACCTCACACAGGGAAAAAACTAGAGAAATATTTTTATATTGTTTGCAGATACCCATGAATATCATTCCTTGATTCGATTATACCCAATGCCCCAAAAGTGTTGGATTATTGTAAGTTATTTGTAACACAGGATGTGATCAATATGAGTGAACATTTCTTACTGTTACATGAAGATATGCTGATCTGTTTTGCATTTTTAATAGATCTGTTACCCATGTGGTGACAACTTGTGGGTCATTTAAAAAATACCAATTCACGAAGTTATATAGATACTTCCTATGTTGACACATTTCATGACACAACTTTTTTTTAAAAGACTTACTTATTTATTTTGGAAATGCAGATTAATAGAATGAGAGACTGAAAGAGAAAGAACTTCCATTCACTGGTTCACTCCCCAGGGGACCTCAGCAGCCAGAGCTAAACCAGATCTCCCACATGTATGCAGAGTCCAAAGGCTTTGGGCCGTCCTCCACTGTTTGCCTAGGCCACAAGCAGGGAGATGGATGGGAAGCGGAGCAGCCAGGACACACACACCGTACCTGTGTGGGGTGCCAGCACCTGCAGGAAGAGGCTTTGCTTGTTGTGCCATTGTGTCAGCCCCATAACACAACTTAAAAAAGAAAAAGCACTTGTTAATATCACCACTCATCAGAAAAATCTTTAGATGCAAGGAAGCTGTCAAACAGTGTTAGAGTCAAACTTTCCAACATTTTAGTTTTTCCTTGAAAACTTAAAAATTTAGTCTTTGCCAGCAAATCCTAAAGGCTGTTTTCATTGAAATGACAGGCTTAATCCATTTGTTTTTAGGATGTTTACTGAATTTCAAGTCTGAGATAGTTAACCATTTAACTATTTTTATTTCATTTAACTATGAAATAAATGATACTCCATGAAAAACTGGTTTAGCTAATTACACAAATGCTTTTCCTTGAAGCAACACCTTTACTTGGGCATGTAGCACAATGTTTTAGGTATGCTTTCTTTAGTCATGTTCAGTTCTTATTTTTACTTAAAATTAATTAATTAATCAGTTAATTAGAAATAATGACAGGAGGGAGAGACATAGACACAAAGATTTTCCATCTGTTTATTCACTCCCCAGATGGCTGCAGCAGCCTGAACTGGGCTGGACTAAAGCCAGAACCAGGAACTCAATCCTGATTTCTCAGATGGGTGGCAGGGACCTAAATACGTGGGCCCTCTTACGCTGCCTTCCTCATTGTATTAGGATCAGAAGCAGAGCAACTAGGACTCCAGGTGACACTCCAGTATGGATACTGGCATTGTAAGCAGTTGTTTAGCAGGCTGTGCCCAACTCTGTTCAATATCGTATTAAAGTTATGTTAACTAAAAGAAAATTCTTACTTTCTTTACATTTTTATTCAGATTCCTAAAAATGGGAAATATGTGGCTCTATTTTATCCTTTAAAGTCACACAGAAGTCGTAGTTCCTCCTGAGGGTGAGTTTTTGTTCTTAGGTCAGGTTTAGCAAGTTTCCCTTTTATCCAACAGGAGCTGTTAGTGAGACAGGGTCCCTTAGAAAAGAAGGAGCAAAACTCACATGTCCAGGATACACCTGCCAGCCACAGTAGGCATTAACGCTAACCCCTTGTCTCACGGGATGGTTATGGTTACCACTTAGGGAAGATTCAGAAATGAGCTGTCTCCGTGTCCATGGTCGATAATTCTCCAGTAGCAGCCCAGATCTCACAAGTGTTGCATTCTTCATGTGCTTGGTTAATAAGAAGTTTGTTGTTACTTTGGGTCTTATTTTAAAGAAAGAATGACAAGCAAAGATATCTCTAATTTCGGGTAACTTTTGCTTAAGTCAGTAACGTTGGAAACGATAAAACAACGTTATCCTTTCCTTGTAGGGTTTCGGGAATGCTACCAAGTCTGGAACATCAAACAAAAAACCTGGTATGTGTAGGAGTGGCTTTGAAAAATTGCTCCACTCTTTGTTCTGTTGCAATCTTGAATTCATAGTGCCTTATTTTTTCCTTCTTTTCAGAGATTGCTCAGGTAACATCAGCATATGTTGCTTCCGGCTCTGAACAACTTAGCCTTGCACCAGGGCAGCTGATACTAATTCTAAAGAAAAATGCAAGTGGGTGGTGGCAAGGGGAGTTACAGGTAATATTCCGTAATATCCATCTACTTTAGTATAAAACTAACAAAAATTTTAGGTCATTCATATCACTTAGAAATATTATCTTCATTTATAGCACAGCTGAATTGATTTTATAAATAACAAATGAAGGAATAATTTTGTCTAGAGACACAGTTGTTTTTCAGTGATAGCTGGTGGGGATGCAGGAGATCTCCCATTAGGGAGCTCTTAGTTGTGCTCTCCCCGTGGAGTCAGTTAACACCCAGGAATGGTGGGCCAGAGGGGAAGCCCGGCACAGACCCTTAGTGTCCAGCATTCTAACTGGGACACCATCACGTAATCCCACTGGTGGCCCATGCGGCCATCTCTGTTTGCAGCCCCTTCAGAGGCTGCGCTGACGATATGTATGTAACCTGAGGCGCCCACCGAAGCTCACATCATTAGATGTATAGCAGGGCCCAAAGGCCTTTAGTGAACGACTCACTCCTGCCAGTCAGGACGCCCCAGTGACAAAGCCCAGTCCTGTCTTAAAAGAAAAGGTTTTCTTGATTTTAAGTTATGTCTCATGAATTGTTTTATCTTTAAGTTGTGTATTTGTTTTCCTGATTTTTTAGGCCAGAGGGAAAAAGCGACAGAAGGGATGGTTTCCTGCCAGCCATGTTAAACTTCTGGGGCTAAGCAGTGAAAGAACCGCGCCTGCCTTTCATGCCGGTATGGAAGTGGATGAACATGTATCTCAGACAAGTTTGTTAAAACTCAGCTGCTTAGATTAGCTAACTGTTTGAGATATACACCCCACCACCACCACCACCAAATGTCCTTTTCTTACTGCTTAAAGTCATATGCCAGTGACAACTTCCTTTCTGAAAGGTCTGTGAAGGAAATAGCCAGCTATTTAGTGATGCCTGGACTACTTCACTCTTGGAAATTTTCCTTTTTTGTTTTTTAAGGATTTATTTGGAAGAGCAACAGCAAAGATAGTGACAGAGAGAGAGAGAGTGACGTGCGAGAGACAGGCTCCTTCCCTAAATGGTGCAACAGCTCTGATTGGACCAAGCTGAAGCCATGAGTCTGGAGCTCCATCCTGGTCTCCCACATAATGTCAGGGACCCAAGTACTTGGGACATCATCTGTAGCCTTCCCAAATACCTTAACAGGAAGCTGGATTGGAAGTAAAGTAGCCAGGACCAGGACTGACACACCTAAATGGGAGGCTAGGATCACAAGTGGCCGCTTAATCCACTGCACCACAATGCCAGCCCCTCCTTGAAGTTTCTCAACGTGAAACTACTGCACTGCGATACTTGAAGTGAAGCAGTTCGTCTGGGTTTTCACCTATAGTTGTGAAACTCATGTTTTCAAAGACGTGGGATGAGAGAAGGAAGGTTAGAGAAAGTGAGCCAATTTCAGGGGAAATTTTAGCCTAATCATAGTATTTTAGCAATTTAAATCCAATGGAGAATTTGGCATTCAGTCCTTGTAGGAATAACTAATTTGTTATTTTGTCATTTTTCTGATAGTGTGCCAGGTGATTGCCATGTATGACTATGTCGCAAACAATGAAGATGAGCTCAATTTCTCCAAGGGACAACTGATCAATGTAATGAACAAAGATGATCCCGACTGGTGGCAAGGGGAAATCAACGGGGTGACTGGTCTCTTTCCTTCCAACTACGTCAAGATGACAACAGACTCAGATCCAAGCCAACAGTGTGAGTAATCCCAGATTTTTCACCTTCCTTCTGGTGTGAAGACTTAAATATGCAGCATTTAGTTTTGTTGCAGATCAGATTTTGAACTCAGCACTTAGAGCAAAGGTACACTAATATTTAAAGTAAAGCAAAGCGGTTATACTGCTTTAGCTTAAATACTTTCTGCCAGCTTTAGACCTTCATATTGGGTTTTATTTGAGAGCAAAGGCAGAGTTTCTCTCACAGGTACTGGCTGCATACCAGTGTCTGTCTGGACTCTAACTTTTTTTCACTGCCATCCTTTTCTTAAACACCTAGTAATTTTCAGCTTAATGAAAGATAGCTGAAACTGTCCTATTTAACATTTCAAAATGGTTCTTAAGTATACAGAAGCCATTGCAATCTTCTCCTTTCCCACGTATTTCCATATTACCCATGTTGGAAGCAAATTAAATAACCTGTTTAAAACTTCCATACTTCATGCCACAGGGGATATATGGTTCTAGGTTTATTTCATATTTTCAAAATATGGATCTAGCTTTCAAATTGTGAAATTTGCAATTTTGTAAAATGATTTCTTGGTAGTTTCCTAGCCGTTCTTATGATTGACAGTAAACATGGCATTATGGCAAATTAGAGAATAGCCAATACTTGGAAGTAATGTTTATAAAAAAGATTTCACTTTCTCCTACCCATTTGACTTTTTCATTTTATAATACATATTATTTGAATTTTTATCATTCTTGTGATGCTATTTAAAAGCATTTTCATTTTACTCTAGTCTTTCATTTTACTCTAGATACTGAGAACATACCAGTGTTAATTCAGTAGCACAAGAATTATGAATTTGTTTTATGCTGTAACATTATGCCTAGCCTCTGCTTTAAGACTTGTGAAAATAACTCTGATCCAGGAATATAACTTCCATTTAATTCTTTTCTTTTTTCTTCTAAGATTTATTTTATTTATTTGTGAAGCAGAGTTACAGAGAGAGAAAGGGAGAGAAAGAGCTCTTCCAAATGCTGATTTTACTCCCCAAATGGTCACAATGGCTAGAGTTGAGTCAGGCTGAAGTCAGGAGCCAGGAACTCTGTCTGGGTCTCTCATGTCAGTGTAGGGTCCCAAGGACTTTGGTCATCCTTTGCTGGTTTCCCATGCACATTAGCAGGAGGCTGGATTGGAAGTGGAGCAGCCAGAACTTCTACCAGTGCCTGCCTATATAGGATGCCAGCATTGCAGGTTGCATCTTAACCTGTTATGCCAAAGGCAAGCTCCTCTTTGTATCTTTCTTGATATAGCAACTAAAATTTACAGTTTTGAGGCAAGAAGAATCTAGTTTTTTTTAATGGCTTGAATATTCCCCAAAATGTTTCAGTATCTCAGGAGAAGAGGTAAAGAAAATGGTAAAAACTTGAGTTGCCCAACTAATTGTCCATTTTTAAGCTTTGCTCGTAAGTTAGCAGTTTGCTGGGATTGGGAGTCATTTTTTATCTGATTAGTTAGAAATACTGATATCTAAGAGAGGAAATACCTGTGTCTTGTAGCTGAGAGAGGAAAATACTTTTCAGATCTTGGGTCTTGGAACCCTCGGCTGGCATATCAGTACATTTAGCTTTTACACCATCTGTGAGCTAAAGTGATTTTTTTTCAAATATTTCTTATCTTTTTATCTTGTTTTCTAATAGCAGAGCATATTTTTCTTTTCGTTTTTGAAGCATAGTTTTCAAATTAAGTCTCATCATAAGAGACATAAATAGCAGGTAAAAGCTGTTCTAAAGAAAGGCCAGAACCACGCCGTGTCCCTTTTCTTTCCCCTCCTGTTTTGTGACTTGTTCCTTCAGGTTTCTGTATCGGATAATTTAAAAATCCCTATCTTAACCTAGCAGTTAAGACACCTGCATCCATTCCCAGATTGTATATTCTCTGCCTCCTGGCTCCAGCTTTCTGCTAATGGAGGACGTGGTGACAGCTCAGTTGATTGGGTTCTTACCACCCTGTGGGAGACTGGGTCCTATGATTCAGTCCAATCCTGGTAACCGGGCATTTAGGGAGTGCACCCACAGATAAGAAAACACTCCATGTATCTTTGTCTCTTCCACTCTGCATCTCAACTAAGGTAAATTTTTTAAAAGTTTTATCCTGGAAAAATCTACTTCAGGACAGTAACAACTTCCTAGGAAGGTGACCTTCCCAAAAAGTTAATTGGAGGACCACTTTTTATTCTTGTATTTTTAAGATTTTATTTTATTTGAAAGAGTGACAGAGTGAGAGGAAGAGGCAGAAAAAAAAAAAGATCTTTGATCCGTTGGTTCACACCGCAAATGGCTGCAGCAGCCAGGTATGGGCCAAGCCAGACACAGAACCAGCAAATCCACCCAGATCTCCCTTGCGGATGGCAAGGGCCCAAGTACTGGGGCCATTTTCTGCTGCCTCCCAAGTCAATGCAAGTAGAGCAGCAGGAACTGAAAATCATGCTTCCATATTTGTTTCTGGTGTCATACAGGAAGGCTTAACCCACAATGTCTCATACCAGCCCTAGACAGCAGCCTAGCAGGTTGTCGATGAGTGTTTGATATGTGAATGATACCTGGACATTTCCAAAGGGCATATTTGCCATGGAAATTACTTTTGAATAGAATGTGCTTTGTGAGTGTGGGTGAAACTGCTAGAGCTCAGTTTCCTTATTTAGAGCCCCCACTCTAACTAGCACTCATTCAGTAGGCCTTTCTGTGATGAAAAAAAATATATACAAAAAAACAATCTGCAATATCCAGTACAGTGGGCGCTAGTCATGTAGGTTTTAAGCATTTTCAATTCTTGTTTCAGTAACTAAAGTGATTAGCACCCACGGCTGATGACTGTTGCACTGGGCAGCACAACTCTTGAAGTGACCAATTTCAAGCCCTTCCTGAAATAAAAAAAATAAATAAAAAAACAAGGGAGAGTTATCCTTTAGTCAGCACTGACCTATATAGTGATTGTCATGGGTTAAAGTCCCTGAAGGCTTCAGGTTCTACTCTCAAGGGTATTTTTGGAATTTATGTCATGCTTTCACGGCTTTGTTAGCAGCCTGTGGCTGTCTCCCCACTGTTCATTGGGCACTGAGAATGTAAGCCTGGAAGAACCCTGCTTGTTCTCAGGGAACTTTGGAGTTAAGTGACGCAGTGACTATTTATTCAAATCTGTGCTGGGAGGAGATCCCCTAAACTCTGTAAGGAGAGAGGCTACTGGGAGGTGTTCTCTTTCTTATGAAATTGTTACCACCAGCTTACTTAATACTTTGTTTTTGGTTAATGTATGTGGATTTTTTTGTTTGATCTAACTGGATGACTAAGCATGAAACAAGTGGACATGGGTTCGTAATTTGTCCTGGAATAACCAAACTCTTAATTATGCAGCTTGAGGATAATCTTAAGTAGATTCTCTTGAGGAGGTTTGTTGTTTCTGTAAAAAAATCTGTTTCAGGTCACTCAGAAGAGGGAGGAATACTGATTTTATTTATTTAAAATAATAACCTACAAGACATTAAAGAATCATAGTTGTATTTCATAGAAGATAAAGAATAAATTTATTGGCAGCTATGAAATTCACTCACGTTAAACTTATATGAATATAAACCTGCAACTTTAATAGGATATGGCTCAAAACACGCTTCACATGTCCAGTCAGGACTTGGTTTAAGAGCATGGTTACACTGCTGAGACTTTGGGAAATGCGTCGTGCACTCACAGCTTTTGTATGAATCTCTGCTTAAGCTGCAGTTTACAGTTGTGTTTCTGTGACCCTTACAAGTATTCTTTTATTTTAACTGTAAAATTAGAACATTTTTTAAAGGTTGAGGATTTGAATAGAGAAAATCTGTCTAGTTGGTGTTGCATGTTATTATCAGTCAAATTTTTTTCTTACCCACCTGATTTGCATTATGTTCATTTTATTCCTCGTTTTTCTTTTTTTAGGACCCAATGTTGTCTTCCAGTTGTGAAAGCACCCCAGAGACCCACTATCCAAGTTTGACTCTAGCGTGGAGGCAGGGCCGGCAGCCCTGATCAAATATCTCCTACACAATTCATTTACTTCGTTCGAATGTTAGAGCCACTTGTGATTATTTCTCTGTGTTTCTGATTTAGTTAAAATTTATTTGTAATAAGTTAAAGGATAGTGGGTCTTTGTGTGGCTTTCCCTGCTGTTCACTCTGGCACCTTTAGCATTTTTTCTTCTTTTCTGATTCGGTAACTGTAGGTCATTAGCATGCATATTGAGTTTGCCCTTACATGGTGGGAGTTCAAACACACAAAGACCCACTATTTGCACAAACTTTTCTTGCTGGTTTGGAATGGGCTGCAATGCTTTTCTGATGTTATTGCAACATGTATATTCGTTACAGAATTCAGGTAAAGTTTGCTTATGTTCTGCTGCTATGTTTGATCTAATCCTAATCCCCATGAGCTCTTGGCTTAATATGTGATTTGCCCTCAAATATGCACTGTTAATTATTTTCTAAAATGCCACTATGGGTACCAATATTTAGATTTAGTTAAGGGCCAAGAACTGGAAATTACCTTTCCTCTTTATTCTGTTTTTGGGATGAGAACAATGCCCCGGGGGAATGGGGCATTTCTTGCAGAAGCAAGATGTGGCCTGCTGGGGTGGCTGGGCGGAGTAAGATCTGCTTGGTCTGTTGCGCCTGCCCCCACATGAGCACTGGGCCTTGACAATCCCTTTGGGGTTGAAGGCTGCTCTGAACAAATGAAGATTCAGCATCACATGCTGCTGAATAGTTGTTCCTGTTTTAGTGACAACATAAAAATGGGTTCTTTTTCAGAAGTGAAAGGCTCCCATCCTTGAGTATGACTTAGGAAGCCTTCCCCAGCTTAAAGTCAGAATTCATGCAACCTGTTTTAATCATGTCCCAGCACACAAAAAGAGACTGGGTGACACTCTCGACATAGTTAGCAAGGATGATAAGATCCTTCGAGGATTTAAATGCCCCTGAAGCAGACACACAAACTGTAGTCTGTAGCAGCTCTGAGGGAAGGGAGGACGTGTCCGTGAAACCCCATGTGTAGGAAGCTCCTTGAAAGCTAGAAGACTGATATGCTATCCAGACTTCTCTGGCTAATGCCAACTTGTCAACCACATTGGCTGTTTTGGCATGTGATTTTATCTCTTTTCCATGGCTGGAAAACACTTTAGATAAAACAGATATCCGCACATATCTGAGCGTACTTAGCTGAAGCAAATAAAGGGATTTTAGTAGACAGTATTAAACTATATTTAAAAATCAGTGAGAAGTTTGTGCAATTACAAATGTTTACAAACTGCAGTGCAATCTACTGTTAGTGAATGAATGTAAAGGTGTTATCAGGAAGTTTTCATACAATCACAGTCTATTTCCTCTCCGAGTTCTCTGAAGAAGAGTGAAGTATGTTTTGATACCTCTCAGTTGAAGTTAGAAGTGTATTTTGTGCAATATTGATGTTAATGTGCCTATACATTATGAATAAATTTTTCAGTGGGACATGCCTAAATTATAACTTTACAGCACCTGAGAACCAATCAGTAATTTAGCTAACATTGGCAGAGTTCAGATGTCTGCACTCCAGCATGCTTCAGATTGTGTAGCTCTAGGGAGAGCCGTCTGTGTGCTCCCTGGGATGAGAATTCTGCCAGCTAGGACACCTCCGTTGTCAGCATTGGACATCACATGATCCTTTATAGAGTAAGTATAACATTAATAGGAAGGCAGTAAGACCATTTTATAGGTAGAATAATAGATTTGCTTAGTCACTGAAAAAAACTGTGCAAAAATTGGGCCTTTGTAAATTTAACTGACTTTTCCAAATTGTATGAATTACCTGACTTCTTATTTCCTGAACTTTCTGCTTTTTTACCAAAGCTTCAGTTTGGGTTCAGATTAAGGGCAGTTACATTAAATCGATTATCCACCCCAAGATTAGCTACCAAACCATTGTTAATTAGTTGTATTATTTAGAATAGCATTTCATCTTTATAATTTTGAATTTGGACCTATTTAATATACTGATAAGTTATTCCAAAGATATTTTTATAGCTCAAACCGCCTCACTTTTACAGTGATAGTTTGTTAGAATGACAGAGTTTTCGCATCTGTAATCTGTCTAAAAATATGTGAAACAGGTACCTATGGATTACATTTATACAGGCATATTTAAGCTGAATGTCAATCTTTAGCATAGATTTATTCTGTTAAATGAAACACCACCCTGTATGAGTATTTTGTCATATATTTCAAAGAAAGCTGGAAAGAAAGGGCACTGTATGACAAAATAACCGAAATTCTCCTTCAGAAAGCCCGCAGTCCCTTGCAGCTCCTCAGCCAGCGCCCAGGCGTTCTCTTCCTTCTGCCAGTTAGAGGCCACTTTCACTTTGCTTAGAGGGTGACAATAGAAAGAAAATGCGTATCAGAAACCTGGAATTTAAAAATAAAAGTACAACTAGACAAATTTTAATTCTGTAAGAAATAATTAATCAAAACACCCATTTGTTTAAATATTTCAATATGATCATTATTTTAAAGTATGTAATTAAACCTGATGGCTTTCCAGCAATGAAAAAAAAAAAAATCCAGAAACCTAAAATGCAAAAGAAAAGCTGATTTTAGACCATTTGAAGATTTAAATTGACCCCCCCTTCATTCTATCATTTCTCTGAGTTTTTATCATAAAAGTTGTTTTAAAATAACAAAACTTTTAACAATGTATCTGCTATTTTAATGTTTTAAAGGACAATATGAATGCTTGTAGGTTCAAAGAAACTGGGGAAAGAAAAGTAGATGAAGAAATGCCAATTTCAGTCCAAAATTTTGTTTGCCAAGTTTCCTTAGAGTAGATTTTACCAAGTTACGAATTCTTGTAAATAGAAACTATAATGGGAAAAGAGACTTTGCCTATAGTGGCATTATTGGATGCTGCTGTAATGCTACTGTTATGTAATAAATTATTAAATTGTTGCAAAATGCTGTTTTGCCTTAAATTTTTATTTGTGTGTCTTGAAAACTATAGTGTTATAAAGGTATTGAGATTGTGCAAATGCTGGGCACGCTTGGCATGAAATAATCTTATTTTTACAAAATTGTGATATTACTATGCAAATGCGTTTATTAAAAGGACACAAATGACATTATTTGTATTGTGTATTTCTTTTGACACATTCCTTTAAAACTTTTAAATTAGTGATGTATACTCATGACTAAATATCTTTGGAATTTCTCTTTTTAATGTAGTCTCTGGGTAAATGGCAGCAAATTGTTTTCTACCACAAAAGACAAAAGAAATTTTTAAATGGTCAAGGCCGGGGTAATTTAATCCAGGATAAGCATATGTATTTTGAAACTCAAAAACATTTCAGTTCTAATGTTATTGCTGACATAAATAAAGTAATGCATCATCTAGGATGGTAGACTATTATGTATCCATAACTCGCACTACAAGTTTTTTTCTGAAAAGATTGGAAGGTTTTACAAGATACTGCTTATTCTTAGTTGTTGCCATGAATGCTTGTGGGCAGTTTGATTTAAGCACTGTTAGACTTAAGTGAACAAGCTTGTGGTTTTAAGCGCTTGGGTGAAGAGAAATTGGGATCAAAATCCACCCCTCCACCAGTGCCTAGCATAGTCATCCTCTTTCCAGTAGGCCTTTCCTCTTCTCTGGAAAGTTCTTCATTGAATATATTGAGAATTTGCAAAACAACAGGCAAAGATGCTGGGTCCTGGAGATACAAAGGTGAACATTGGTTGGTCTGAGCCTTAGGTGAGGGGGTCAGAACCATGAGCAGATAATTATAAAGGAGTTGCACAGTGGTAGATGTACTTGGTACAAGGAAGTACCAAGAGGAGTACCTAATTGAACATTATCATAGATTGGTGACAGGAAAGATTCCCCCAAGAAAGCAACTGCCACATCCAAAAGATGATTTAGGCGATGGAAGACATGTAAAGAAACGCGGTGGAGAAACAGTGAGGCTGGAGGAGGGGCTGCAGTTCTCAGATCAGTACAGCTAGAGCGGCAGTGCAGAACAGCAACTGAACATTGAGGCTTGAGAGGCAGGCCGAGGGCTGACTTGGAGATTCTGCAGCTTGGCTTTGCACTGGAATCACGTGGGAAGCTTTAAAAAGCTGGCAGTGCCTGGGTCCTGCTCCACATAGCCTAGGCAAGAATCAGGAATTCCTAAGGCTCTAACTTGGGTGACACCAATGCAATGAAGAATCAAAGCTGGTGGAAGGTTTGAATTTGGTTGTTAGTTCAAAGGCCTTGTGACACAGCATCAGGTCTTCATTAACTGGTAGAATTCATAGTGGTAGTTGCTGAACCAGTGAATATAAATGAACGTAGTTAGGGAGATCAACAGGTATGGGTTGGGGGGTGAAAAATCCATAGAAATGGGAAAAAGTTTCTATGAGATTAAATAAATTATATGCTAATATTGCTACCATTTTTAGAAAACTAGAAAATTATGAAGCCATCACTGATAGTTTTAAAAAAAACAACCTGCTTTTTAGTGATGACTTGCTAGTCTAGGTACTTGTGTGAGGTCCTTAAATTTATCGTCTCTTTGTGTTTTCTTTTTACTTTTAAATGAAAACAGGTTAAATAACTTGTCCAAGGTTACAGAGCTAGTGAAGTAGTAGAGTTGGTTCAGAGTCTGGCCCCCAAGTCTGTCCTCTTAACCTATAGGCCACTGTGACAATGTTGTACCTATTTCAATTCTTGTATATTTATTTAAGAGAGCTCCCATGTGCTGGTTCATTCCCCACGTCTACAACAACCAGGACTGACTCAGAATGAAGCTAGGAGCTGGGAATTCAGTGCAGCTCTCCTGCATGGATGGTGTAAACTCAGCTACTTGAGCCATCATGTTGCCTTCCAGGCTTTGCAGTAGCAGGAAGCTGGAACCAGGAATCAAACCCAGGCAGTTTGATGTGTGATGCAAGTGTCTTAACCATTAGACAAGCGCCTACCCTGCACCATTCCTACAAGCATGCAGTTCTGGTAGGATAAGCAATAGGAGCGTTAAACAAAAAGAAGAAAAAAATCAGGCTGCACAAAGTTTTTTGTTTTTCTCTTTTTCCACGTGAAGGGAATACACAGGTAAAAGGCAAGGACTTTGAATATATAAGCCTATACCAAAATACGTCACAATAATATCCGGAGGCATAAGACCAGTCACGTTTTGTTTGATTGGGGTTTTGTTGAGCTCTAATTCAGGCACCATGAAGTTTCCCTATGTACTGTACAGTTCAGTGGGTTTTTTTAGCAGATGCAGTTATGCAACAATCGATCACCACAGTCAGTTACAATTTTCTGTAATCACCTCTCCATCTCCGCGCCCCCTACACCACAGGCAACCACTACCTCATTTCTATCTCTGTATGTCTTTTCTAGATGTTTAATGTATATGAAATCAGCAAGTGTGGGGTTTGTATTTGGCTTATTTCCACGCGGGTGGACTGCTTTCCCAGGCTGTGGCCTGGGAGCTGGATGGGAAGCAAGGCTGCCAGGATTAAAACTGGCACCCATATGGGATCCCAACACAAGCAAGACGAGGACTTTAGCCTCTAGGCTACTGTGCCAGGCCCTCTATTCAACTTCTTTGCATTCTTTTAATTGAGTAATGTCTCTTAGTAATCATTTTATTTTATTATTTTTGTAAGATTTATTTATGTTTATTGGAAAGTCAAATATACAGAGAGAAGAAGAGACAGAGAAATCTTCCATCTACTGGTTCACTCCCCAATTTTCACAAAGGCCAGAGCTGAGCCAATCGATAGCTAGAAGCCAGGAGCTTCTTTTGGGTTTCCCAGGCGGGTGCAAGGCCCCAAGTCTTTGGGCCGTCCTTGACTGCTTTCCTAAGCCACAAGCAGGGAGCTGGAGGGAAATGGAGCAACCCAGGACACAAACCAGTGCCCATAAAGGATTGCAGCAGACCACAAGGCGAGGATTTTAGCCACTTAGCCATCATGCCGGTCCCCAATAATTATTTTAAGACTTTGCTTCTTATTGCAGTTTTAAGTTTACGACAAACTAGAGCCAGATATAACCTATGTATTCCCCAAAGAACAGTCTTTGATGAACCTGCACTGACAGGTCATGGTTAGAGTCTGTAGCTTACATTGGGGTTTGCTGTTGGTGTTGTGCGCTCTGTGGATTTGGACAAGCACGTAAGGATATGTATCAGCTGTTAGAGGATCAGGCCCTGAAAGTCCTCTGTGCTGTGCCTGCTCATCCTTTACCGCTGGTGGCTGGTAACCATGAATGTTCTGTTTCCATAGTTTTGTCTTTTCCTGAAAGCTATGCAATTAGCATCAGATAGGATCTGATCTTTTCAGATTAGCTTCTTTCACTTAGTAATATGCATTCAAATTTCTTCAGTAGCCCTTCATCACTTAATAATTTTTTTAGTACCCAATAATATTCCATTGTCTGAATGTATCACAGTTTATTCACTTGCTGAAGGACATCTTTATTGCTTCTGAGTTTTAACAATTCTGAATAAAGCTTTTAGATACTTGTCAGTGTGAAGGCTTTTTTGTGGAAATAGTTGTTCAGTTCCTTTGGGCAAGTACCAACAAGCACATTTGCTAGTTCGTATAGTTAGAGTAGGTTTAGTTTTCTGACAGCTGAATTGTTTTCCAGAGAGGCTGTATCATTGTGCATTTACATCAGCAACTAATGACAATTCCTGTTACTCCCTGTTCTTACTCCCTGTTGCCAGTATTATGGATTCTAACAAATATGTGGTATGACATCTCACATTAAATTGTATTTCGTTGATGACAGATGGTAGAGAGCTAAGAATTATTGATGTATTTGGAGTAGTAGTCCATTATCAGCTCTTTTGAAAATACTTTCTCCAGGCTGTGACTCAACTTTTCATTCTCTAAACCATGTGTTTTACAGACTAGAATTTTTGTAAGATTTATTTATTTGAAAGGCAGAGGGGAGTAAGAGAGATTCATGTACTTACTCACTAAGTGGTCAGCTCACCTAGGTCTGAGCTGGGCTGCAGCCAGAAACTTGAATTCCACTTGGACCTTCTTGGAGCTAGACTGCATAGAAGTGGAGCATCTGGACCTGAACTTACATAAGATGCCAGCCTTGCAGACAGTAGCTTAATCCGCCGTTACACAATGCTGACTGAGTAACTTTGAACTTTAGTGAAGTTCAACTCATACTTCTGCGGGTCGTGCCTTTGGCATCATTCTTAACAAACCCAAGGTCATCTAGTTTTTTTTTGTTGTTACCTTCTAGGCGTTTTATGGTTTTATTTTTCACATTTGGACATATGACCTATTTAAATGAACTATTTCTTTGTTTTTGTTGGAAAGGCAGATCTACAGAGAGAAAGAGAAACAGAGAAAGATCTTCCATCTGTTGGCTCACTCCTCAAGTGGCCACAACAGCAGGATCTTAGCCCAATCCAGAGCCAGGAACTTCTTCGTGGTCTCCCACATGGGTGCAAGGCCCTAAGGCTTTGGGCCATCCTCTGCTGTTATGTCAGGTCACAGGCAGGGAGCTGGATGGGAAATGGAGCAGCCAGGACACAAACTCTGACACCCATATGGGATCCCAGCACTTGAAGAAGGAGGATTAGCCAATCAAGCCATTGTGCCAGGCCCTTTAGTTAACCTTTGTGGAGAGTGTAAGCCTAACTAAATTAAGGGTTTTTGTTTTTTGTGTTTGTTTTTTCAATTCGGACGGACGCCCAGTTGTTCTGATACCATTTGCCAGAAGTCTGCTTTATTGTGTTGCATTGGTTCATTTGTCAAAGACAAAGCTGCCTGCATTTGTGTGGATCTGTTTCTAGGCTGTTCTGTTCCATTGATTGGTCTGTTTTTTTGCTAACATGTTGTCTTGGTAACTGCAATTTGATGTTAGTCTTGAGGTCAAGTAGTGACAGTCTTTCAACTGTGTGCTTCTCTTTCAGTCCTGTGTTGGCTGTGCTGAGTCCTTTGCCTCAACTTGGAAACCTCAGCATCCATTTGAGAATCATTTTTAAGCTTTGTTTTAAACAAGAGCAACAAGTTAAGAAAGATATCTTTAAGAGAGGTGTCTTGAAGTTATTGTCAAATAATCTTTCAGTTTCCCAGAGAGAATGATAAAATAATTGTAGAAATAGAGTGGGAGGGTTCCTGTTCGTGCTGGCTCTACTACTAAGTGAACAAGATACAGACCTCTCAGTATCTTTGTGTGTGTGTCTTTCAAATAAATGAAAGCTTTTAAAAAGGAATAGAAAATTAGCACCAACAAAAAATATATATATTTGTGAAAGTCCTGTTGTGCCAAGACAGCAGTGCAGCCCTCTCTGTGCTGATAAACAGCAGTGCACAGTGTAGACACTGGATTCTACCGGTGTGTGTGACAGAATAGGAAGGTAAATAAAGGGACAGTCCTGTGACTTGGACACACACACACACACACACACACACAGAAGTGTTTAAGGGAGCAAGGACCCGCTTGGCTTTTCAATGCTTTCAGCTAATGCAGGATAATTATGCTGAGCTGCTTTTTCCTCTAAAATTAAATTCAGCATGAACCAAAGTCAGGTTTATGTTTGCCAGCTTTAACAAATATATATTTGAAAGGCAGACTTACAAAGAGTCAGGGGAGGAGAGATGGAGCTTTCATCCTCTGGTTCACTCCCTAAATGCCACAATTTCCAGGGCTTGGCCAGACTGAAGCCAGGAGATTCATCCCAGTCTTTCATGTGGGTGCAGAGGCCCAAGTACTTGAACATCTCCCACTGTTTTCCCAGGCCATCAGCAAGGAGTTGCATTAAAAGTGGGGCAGCCAGGATGCAAACCAGCACTCAGATGGTAATGCCAGCCATGCAGGTGGTGGCTTTACCTGTGATGCTGCAGGGTCAGCCGCAATCCTGCTGTTTCCATATAGCCAAATGTTACTGTTTTGGAAGCTTTGGAACATGAGAGTGTAATGTGGCCTTCTTTTTGGTGCATTTGGTTGCACAATAGAACATTCTGACAGGCCTCAGAAAACCCAGTGGTTCCAAAATATGTTCAAGGGGCCAACACTTCTTTGATCTCTCTCTGTAATTCTGCATTTGAAAGAAAAAGTCTGTTCAAGAATTATTTAAATTTAAAAACAAACACAAAAAACAAAAAACACCTCTGTAGCTCCCTGGTGCTACCGAGCATGTTACTTGGACTTAATGTTTTCCTAGTGGATGGAAGGCTGCTCTTTGACAAAATACACAGTAATTTTCCAGTGTCCTGGAAACTTCAGTATAAAAGCAACCTGCAGAAAATGTGCAAGTGTAGTTTTCTGGATTCACTGTTAACATCGTGTC